GAAGACACTATTTCTGTTTTTTTACTAACAAAACCAATTCCAAATGGGAACAGGAAAACACAAAATGACCCAAAACTTTACCAAAAACTTGTTTGAAGAGTTTTCAGGAAAGTTTTGAAAACTTAAAATATAACTACAATGTTGAACCAAAAAAAAAGGATATAACGGAAAGTCACTAGTACTACACTTCCGTTAAAATTTTCAAGATCGAATTTGTCTTTTTCCAAACAATTGCAAAAGAGGTCTCAAGCATTGAAAAAGTTTATTTTTTACAGCTTGCATACAATATGTCGAATTTTTTCATCATCGTTTTAATCATTTTCATGTAGACGGAAGTGTGAATCCATTTTTTTGTTGGGGATACTTATAAATAATACCAAAAAAACTTTTTTTAAATGAAGTAATTATTCTTTGTAGGAAACTTATTATACTTTTCTTGGTTTTTAATTTTTTTGGGTCATATTTTGAAAGGAGGAGGAGAAATGCCGTTGAGGTTTGAACATGAGACCACTGATCAAAGTCAGACTACTAATGCTAGTCGAGCTATAAATCCGTTGGCACTATTCTTGGTTTTTCAAAAAGGCCCACTTTTTATATAGACTGATTTTCCTACTCCCTTTTTATCCATTTACACTTTTATCCATTTACACTACATTTTTCTAAACAAAAAGGAGTATAGGTGGATAAAAGGGGAGCGGGAAAATCATTTACCATTACAAAACCTAGTATAAAGACATAATTTTCAAATAAAACATATCCCCACGTATATTTCGTATTTACCAAGTCGTTGTTCCACACTAACAACAGTGCAAAAGCCAAGATCAATCTTTTTTTTGGTCAAATAGATCAATCTAATTTGTGAAGAAATAATCCACCATTGGAAGGCCTCAAAAATTAAATGGTGCATTTGGTCTCTCTGCAAATTGCAGAGTTTCCCAAGTACCACAAAGTTCGACTCCAGGAAAGAGCGGAAAAGAAAGAGGGTTCCATAGCCCACTCAAGATTTTAGAAAAGCAAATGTTTGTGAGAGAGAGGCAGAAACTTCCCATCCAATGTCAAGTGAGAAATTCCCTTAATTTTTTTTACAGCAGCAGGCAAATTAAAGTTTGGAAATGTAAAGAGACGCAGAGAACGATTGGATGGGCAAAACGATTCTCCTTGACCAACTTCATGTAACACTTGTCTATCAGAAATTAGAGGTTACATAATAACTGCATAAGTAGTTTGAAATGACCACACCTAGCAAAGAAATAAAACAACAAAGACCCGATTTTATATATAGAAAAGCTGACTGATTGCCCTAACTTAAACAAAATTGTTGAGTTTCCAATCATTACAACTTCCGAAGTTCCTCAATCATCACTTTTCTTCTTCTTCTTCTTCTCTTTCTTCTTGCTTGGCGTATCAGATTCTTCTTCAGCTTGTTTTCTTTTCCTTTTCTTCTTCTCTCCGGCATCAGCATTTTCAACCGCATCAACATCCTCAGCTGAATGCTTCTTCTTCTTCTTTTCCTTCTTCACGGGTTCTTCTTCTGCTTCTACATTTCCATTTCTGTCATTTGACGCAGGCATGTCTTCATCATCAGCCTTCTTCTTCTTTTTCTTCTCTTTCTTATCTTCTCCAGCAGGTGTCATTTGCCCAAGAACAGAATCTGCTGCGGGATTATACGCCTACAGAGAACAGAAAGGGTTAAAATAATCAACTGACAAACTGAAATAAAAATCCAAAAGAAACATTTGTCAGACCTTGGCAGCAGTTATCAATCCTCCAGCTCCCTTCTTGCGATCCTTGTCGTAGACTTCAATCTTTGGTTTGCCTTTAGCTGATCCAGCAAACCGACCCAACTCTCTGCCTTCAAGATTCCTTAACCGTGCTTCAAGCTGCACAGATGTTTATCTCTAAGCAGATGCTTTCAAAATACTAAAAGAAAACAATGAGGAAAAATACATACCTTGGCTCGATTTTCCAGTCCCATTGTGTTATCTTGGTTATCTCCAAGAGCATCATATCGAATTGCCAATGCAGTTTTTGCTGCAAGTGAGCGGGATATTTTACCCTTGAGCTTTGGTGCTGCTTGACCAATCAAGGATGCATGGTAAATAAGCCCATATTTTGGTGTTGCATGCTTAGTCTTCAGTGCTCTGAAGAGGGCCTTTTCAGCTCCAAGAATCTGAACTGTGCTCCCAGGCTGCTTTGCAAGGTTCAACAAGCTACCACCATGGGCAATGAGGCGAGCACCAACAAGCTCTCCAACAAGAGCAGTCAAATTTGGTGCAATGGTGTTCATCCTGTTTTTTAAATAATCATATAGCTGAGCTCTGTACTCAGAGAGAGAGAGAACTTGGTCACAGAGTTCTTTGATGTTAATCAAATCAAGCTCGCTAACTTCAGTTCCCATAGATATCATAGCTGCTTCCTTCAATTCAGTTTCAACCTCCTCTGGCAATATCTGTTATATTTTGACCAAGAACATGAGATTTATTAGCAACACAAAAAAGTGTGATGATAAAACACAACTACCCTTATCTACCCATAGGCGAGCAAGGGAGATTTAGAACTTAATTATAGAAGATTTGTCCCCCAATGATGAATAAATGTTAACCCAAGAAAAAATGTGTGATGGCAGCAACTTGGTCATAGAGAATATTCAACCATAGACAGCAGCAAAACAAATCACCAAATCTTACCTCGGAGAAATCAAGCTTTGCAGCATTGGCACGATAGCCCATCAGCTTCACTGCCTTGGCATAAAGGATATTGTCCTGGACAATCTTAGCAAGCTCTGGAAAATGCCAACCGTACCATTCTCGAACCCTCATTGCATATGTATTTAGCTCTTTATCAAGGTCATCAAGCAAACCAATGGCTTGAATAACCATTGTATCAACCTGAAATTCAGTAAATTATATTAGGTCTATAGAAACCTCCCAAAACGAAGCTATCACTTGAAAGAGCATATTAATTTCAATTAGCCACAGTACAAAGTCCTGAGACATCAATTCATAAATAAAAGCACACCTTTTCAGCACTGAACTTGAGCTTGTATCGAGATAAACTATGGGATAAACCCAAGCTCATTGGAGCCAAATCTTGAACTTGTAGACCAGCTATGAGTTCAGTCAACTGATTTCTTACACCTCTCATCAACTCCATAACAGAATTGTTGTGAACGCAGTCTATTTTCTGCAAGAAAATACATGCACTAACTTAAATAATATGAAACATGAAAATATCAACTTAAAACAGACCACTATCTCCTTAATCATCAAAAGATTTCACAACAGTTCCAAATTTCTCTAAAGCAGAACACTGGCATACCAGTTTTTCCTTGATGACATTTCCAAGCTTAGAATCTGCAACAGCCAGAGTTTCACCACTGCAGTGCGCACGCAAGAACTTGCGCAGACCTTTGCTGGGTTTACTGTCAATCAGCAGGGTTGCTGCTTCCAAAGCTTCTGATGTATTCTCAAACTTGGAAAAAGCTTTCAGTTTGACAACCTAAACCAAAGCCATGTACTGATTAGATGGATAACTAACAAAAATTATTTTGGAGCATGAATACAAGTAAAAGTAATACACATACTACACACACATAAAAACACAGATAGACACCTGTCTAGCTGACTCTGCACTTGAAAATTCCTTCCATAGATCCTGCAATATCATTTAAGAGGTACATGAAATCAGACCCAAAACTTAAAAGCTGAGATAAATAAACTTGCAAAGAAAGCTAGGATAAAAAATAAATTAACACATAGAAGCATTTTTCACAGATTCCTTCACTCTTCTCAGATATCAAACAAAATACATTACATAAACACGGTTTTAAGACGGTAATTACCTCAACTTGGGTGAGCTTCCCTTCATTTAACACTTTAAATAAGGCAAAACCTGCCGGAGTTTCGAACAACACAAGCATTTTTCCAGCTTCTCAAACACACCTACACCAAAATACACAAGCATAATCACCCATAATTTTATTTTTTTTATAATCACACGGAAAATCTGATAGCAACAAAATATTCCTACTAATACACCCAAAACCCATCAAGTTCAAACTTTTACTATGAAACCCATTGCCCCACTGATCATTTTTAAAATCCACAACTTTGCACAAGAACAAGAAAAGCACACACGAACGTGTATATACAGAGGGAGGTTTGTTCAACGATACATAGTCATTAAAATCGTAATTTCTTACCTCTTTATGTGCGGAGCTGCGAGAGAGGGGGAAGGGGGAGAGGGTAGAGGGAGAAAGCTCAGAAGAGAAGGGTCTAGGGTTTATTGTTCCAGGTGTAGAGAAAAGTTGTATATTTATATAGTGGTCTCTCTAGGATGACTGAAAAAAATACACGACATGTTTGTGAACGACATCTGTCACCGGCTGGGGTACTCTGGGAATTATGAAAACCTATCTGGACATTTGTGCCCCAAGAGTTGTAAGAAATTACGGTGATTTGTAACGTGGCAAGCGTGCAAGGCGGGTGCATAATGTAACGTTGGGCATGTGATACATAGTTCTTTTTTTTTTTTCCGATCGAAAACATGCGATATATAGTTCTTGATACACTAGGGTTTTTGGGGTTTTTCACGGAATTTTTTTTAGTTGGTTTTTTCGGTGTTTTTAACCTGTAAATTGAAAAATATTTACCAAAACATAAAGGGCTGGGTTTTTCACGGAATTTTTTTTAGTTGGTTTTTTCGGTGTTTTTAACCTGTAAATTGAAAAATATTTACCAAAACATAAAGGGCTTGGAAATTTAGATCCCGACTGATTAATATCCAAATTTCATATTTAAAGTAGAAAATATCTTAAAATTCTAAACACCCCAAACGTAATATGTTGAAGTTTTAATGTGTTTGTGAATACTGAAAGTAAACTGAAAACACTAAGAATACTGTAGCATGTTTAACACTATAAAAATATTGGTTTAAAACCTATTGTGCTAAAAAGAAAGTAAAATGAACACGAAATACGTTTATTTTTTTTGAAAACGATATATAAAAACACAAAGCTATATTTCTCTCCACCTTTAGCCAGTACATATATCACTCACGTACTTTGAAAAATAAGAATAAATGTCTCAATCCTGATAAAGCTCAAAGAATCTGATCTCAAATTTATACAAGGAATTCCAAAAAATAAAAATAAACTACTGCTTTATTTGTAATTACTTTGCAGAAGCATCAATGGCTCACAACATAAACTACCAAAAAACTAATAGGACTTCTGTATTATCTATACTTGAATCATATATGAAGTTTACTAAGCACTCAACTTGCTTTTGACATGTCTTCTTGATTGGTATCTTTCTTCTCCATGTTTGGTAACTCTCTCCTCTGGCTAGAACTTGGCATTTTTCTTGCTGGTGGAGCTGAACAAACCGGTACAACTGATCTAATTCGAACAGCTGGTGCCATGAAGCTAGGTCGTAGTCCTCCCAGTTCTATTCTTTCAGGCATGGGTGCGGCTGAAGACGAAGGAATCCCAGTTCTCATTCTTGGTGGAGCAGGAATCCTGCTTGGGAAATTTTGTGGTCTTGACCCCAGTGAAGAAGCAGGGCTTACAGTTCTCATTATTACAGGATCTGCAGCAAATTGTGGTCTTAGGTTTGTAGGAGTACTTACTCTTGGAGGATTTTGGGGTCTCAAATTGGGCCTACAAGAGTCAAAGCCATGAGGCCTTTGTAATCCAAAGTCAACTGGCTTAAAACTAGAATCCATGATCCTAGGGTGAGGCCATCCAAATTGCCCAGTTGGGTTGCATTCCAGCTGAAGGCTTCCAACTTTGCTTCCTAACTCACCAAGCTTCTGTTTCTCATCCTGAACTTGTTCCTGGATTCGTAGTTCAGTGCCGCTGTTTCCAGGACTAAAGGGATCTGACACTACAGATGGAGAGTACTCGGGTGATTCTTCTGGCTTTTCTTCCTGTATCTCTTGAATAGTCACTGTGGACTTGCCCCTGATTGGGTTAGGAACTAAATGGTTTGAGAAGCAGAATGATGGGCCTGAGGTAGCAATTGTAATTCTAGGTCCCGCAGAGGTTGACTGTTGCCCCCTTGCTGGAAAGTATAGACAGTGATCAGGGTGGAGCACAGATTGCATAAATGGAAACATCTGAGGAATAGATGGAGTAGCTAGTGAAATAGGAAGCGGCAGCAGGCGATTTTGTTGCTGTAATACTTGCTCTTGCTGCCACAATTCATACATTGCTATTTCAGGGGAATAATTAGAATAAGCCCAGTTCTGGAATTGCATAGGATATAAGCTTGGTGATGGCAGGGTAGATTTGTTGTAGATGGGAATGTATGTCTGCTGTCCATGTCGGCGATCACTTTGAGTATTTTTAGAATCTGATGGCCGAAAACTTCCAAGAATACGAGCAATAATTACTTGTTCTTGTTCTTCATTGCCTCTAGACTCCGCTGAAGAAGTTGAGCCACGTCCAGCCACTGCATGGATAACATGGAATAATTTACATATATAGGCGTTTACCTTCAGTGAAGTAAATTACAGATATGGGCAATTTCCTTGGTTGAACTAGTAAGCAGCAAAATGCATGAAATAGTGCATGGAATCTTTCAAGGCAAACCACAACATGCTTGTTTTCTAGAGCACACTCAGAAGAAAAAGAAAAAGAACAATAAAAAGAAAATGCATACATTTTTTCAGGGCTGTCCAAGCAGCCATCGCAGCATTTTTCTGAGCTTGTTTCTTTGTCCTAGATGGTTCCCCCATAAAGCTCATTCCTGCTAGCTCAACTGTACATGAGAACACAGGAACATGGCCTGGTCCAGATCGAACAGTCGTATAAACAGGAAGGTTCAACCCAGCTCTATGAGCAGTTTCCTGAAGTAAGTTCTTGTAAACTCCAGTTTCATCCTGTGCAGCAAAAACCACAATACTAATTATTGAACAACTATGCACTATTGAAGTTTGAGTACATAAAGAAACCTTTTCCACCAAACTAAAACAAGAAAAGCAATACAACTTTTGCTACTAACCAATACTCTTGCAGCCAATGCTCTGGAAGGGCCTCTTTTTGCAAGTGTGTTCAATGCTACTTCTGCTGCAGCATGTTCTGCCTGTCTAAGAGTAGAGCAAAATGTAGGACTTTCAAAAGTTTCTCCACTGAAGTTGACAGTTGCTTTGAATCGAGGGGCATGGTCTGGTCCTTCTCGGATGCATGAATAAGATGGCAAATTGAAGCAACTTCTCTGAGCCAACTCTTGCAATTGGTTCTTATACATGCCTGTGTATACATGAAACAATGTGGCACATGCCATGGTAGGTTATTTCATTAATTATACACTTGGTGGATGACAGGGGTAATTGGTAAACTGTTCCTAAATTTTCATCATTAGATGATGGTCAGATTATGTGATTTCATTACAATATCTTATTTGCATACGAATTGACATAAAAAAAATTGAAAAAACTTTTTGACACTAGAAAAATCAAAACTTCAGCCTCAGGTCTTGACTTGGCAGCAATTCTTGTGGGGGTAAGTTTACAGACAGGAGCTAAGCTTCAAAATTCTTGTCACAAACTAGCCACGTCCTCTTTCCACAAGAAGACTTACAGGAGCATTTCCCATCAACAAAGTGATGGAAACGATTGGCATCTCTCACAATAAGTTCCCTCCTCACAATCTTGGATATATATTTAGTCACATTGTGACAATCAACACATACACGGAGATTCTTTGTGATCCTAATCAAGCTCCCAGCTGGTGTGCTTAAAAGTCCAAATGCAATGGCTAATCTCTCACTGTGGCCCCATAGCAACCTTGCCTTCGCAGGCTCATCCACGTCACGAAGAACACAACTTGCATCAGGTACATAATCAGAAGCCTCCACTGCTACTCTTAAATTCTCCAAATGCTGATGAATCTCTGCCCAATTTGGATGTGAGTTGTCTCCAGCAAAAAATTAGTAAACTTGGTGTCCTACTTCAATCAAGCTATACCCTGGTGTTTTTTTGAGTCCCTTCGTCCTCATGTGGCTTCGAATATAATTTACAGAATCCCATCTCCTTGCTTGAGCATAAATGTTTGATAACACAACATAAATTCCAGGGTTCATGATCCTCATGTGGCTTCGAATATAATTTACGGAATCCCATCTCCTTGCTTGAGCATAAATGTTTGATAACACAACATAAATTCCAGGGTTCATGGAATCAATACAAAGTAATCTATCTGCTGTCTTTATACCCCAGATCAATGTTCTTGTGAGCGTGACATCCATTTAGCAATGCTTGAAGAACATAATTACCTGGTTTATAAGGCATTTGCTCCAGCAATGCCTCTGCTTCTTCAAATCAGCCTGCTCGGCTTAAAAGATCCACATAACCAGCGTAGTGTTTTTCGGTCAGCACAATGTCAGGGTCTCTCTCCAAGCTATGGAATAATTTGATCCCCTCTTCGACAATTCCTGAGTGACTACAAGCAATTAGAAGAGAGAGAAAGGAAGTTTCATTTGGCTTAAATCCCTCATCCTTCATTCTTCTATAAACGCCAAGAGCTAGCAGTCCATAACCATGAATACCATAGCTTGTTATCATAGAGTTCCATAGGATAACATCTCTACAAATGGAACAATTTTCAAATATCCTCTCAGAATACTTTATTTTTCCACACTTCGCATACACATCAATCAAGGCTGTCATGTTAACTACACCAAATGCATGGACATGCTGAATTAAATTACCATGAACACTCCTTACTTTCTTCAGAGAGCCTAAACGGGAACAAGAATGGACTAAACTAACAAGAGTTACCGAATTTGCAGCAATTCCCTTTTCTCGCATCTGACAGAATCGTTTCAAGGCTTCTTCTGCATGCCCATTTTCTGCCAATCCTACCAGCATAGCAGTCCATGTAATCATGTTCCTCCCTTCCATTCTGTCGAAGACAAAAGGTGATTGCTATACCCCAGATCAATGTTCTTGTGAGCGTGACATCCATTTAGCAATGCTTGAAGAACATAATTACCTGGTTTATAAGGCATTTGCTCCAGCAATGCCTCTGCTTCTTCAAATCAGCCTGCTCGGCTTAAAAGATCCACATAACCAGCGTAGTGTTTTTCGGTCAGCACAATGTCAGGGTCTCTCTCCAAGCTATGGAATAATTTGATCCCCTCTTCGACAATTCCTGAGTGACTACAAGCAATTAGAAGAGAGAGAAAGGAAGTTTCATTTGGCTTAAATCCCTCATCCTTCATTCTTCTATAAACGCCAAGAGCTAGCAGTCCATAACCATGAATACCATAGCTTGTTATCATAGAGTTCCATAGGATAACATCTCTACAAATGGAACAATTTTCAAATATCCTCTCAGAATACTTTATTTTTCCACACTTCGCATACACATCAATCAAGGCTGTCATGTTAACTACACCAAATGCATGGACATGCTGAATTAAATTACCATGAACACTCCTTACTTTCTTCAGAGAGCCTAAACGGGAACAAGAATGGACTAAACTAACAAGAGTTACCGAATTTGCAGCAATTCCCTTTTCTCGCATCTGACAGAATCGTTTCAAGGCTTCTTCTGCATGCCCATTTTCTGCCAATCCTACCAGCATAGCAGTCCATGTAATCATGTTCCTCCCTTCCATTCTGTCGAAGACAAAAGGTGCTTGCTTTATTGCACCACATTTAGAGTACAGATCAACAATGGCAGTGGAAAAAATGGGATTTAAATCAAAACCCCTCCTAAAAGCACAACAATGTAGGATTTTTCCACTTTCCAGATCAGCTGTTTGAGAACAGCCCTGAACAAGGCTCACCATAGTCCCAGAATCAAACCTACCATCACTTGTGACTAATCTGTGGAAGAAGACAAAAGACTCATGTACCAGACCATTTTGAGTACACCCCGATATCATGACATTCCATGAAACCAAATTTCTTGTCTGCATGGTCTCGAAAACCCAACAGGCACTTTGCATTTCACCCATATTACTATGCATATCAATTAGTGAGGTCCGTACCTCATTACCCACTCCCAGTCTAACTATGCACCCATGAACACATTTTCCAAGCTTGAAATCCCCACTTTTAATGCAAACTTGAATTATGCTCAACATAGTGACTAGACTTGGCCAAACCCCACAACTACACATTTCTAGAAACATATCAATTGCCTTACTAAACTGACTAGATTGCACATAGCCACCAATCATGAAATTCCAACAAATAACATCTCTTTATGGCATCCTATCGAAAAACCTTTGTGCATCACCAATCTTATCGAATCTCACCAAGAAATTAATCATTGAACTCCCCAAGAACCAATCACTTTCAATTTCTTTATCCACAGCTCTCTTAATAACTTCCATATCCCTTTTATAATCTGATAAGCCCATGCACGCCTTGAGTGCACATTACACATATAGCTATCAATCTCCAAATTGCAAGAACCCATCAAACTAAACAAGTTAAGAGTTTCATTGTATCTCTCTTTCCTTAAATACCCATAAATCATGGCATTGCATAGAAAGGTTATTAGGTGACAAAATTGATCGAACACATGACGGGTATCAACCAAACTACCCAAATCAGAGTAAGCTTTAACAAGCTTTGTAGCCAAAATCTGGTCTTTGAATATAGAACTAGTGATAATCTGGGAATGGATGGCCTTGACCCAGATCAGTCTTTCTGAAAATTGTTGTAAGAGTGACAAGAATTCATGAACATTGGCAGGTGATTGACTGAACTGGGAAAATGCGATTGAAGAAGAAGAAGAAGAAACATATGCTGTGAAGCAAGATGAGGGGCAGAGTCTGAAGGGTAATTTGGGAGCAAAGCTGTGGATATGAAGGTGCCCATCTTAAAAGTTATGATATATAGAACAACAAACAACAACTATTGAATTTAGTTTAGCAATTGACCAAGAATAAAACAAAATTCATATGATTTAGAATACAAATGAAAAGAAATTCATTGTCAAACAAAAGCAAAGGAAGTAAATCCTACAACCAAAAACAGAAATGAATCATATACCTCAAATAATTTGACAACATCCCAAATAGAAACTCCTCGTCAAAGACCTGAAGAAAAGAAACATATCATATAGTAAGAGAAGATAGAGAGAGATAAACCCAAAACCTAAATCATATACACGGTTTGGTTCCAAAAAAAGCAAATAGATAGCGAGCAAATCGAAGAAAACATTGACCTTTGAGCGCTTATCGGCACCAAGATCAGCAGCCTCTACAACTTTCTTCCCAGCAGCAATAGAGTATCGAAGGCAACTGTCGAGTCGTCTATCGTTCTTGCCAATTACATAAAGTGTGGAGCTTCAATATCTTGAACATGTCATCAGCTCCGGAAGGTAACTGTTGCTCAGAGCAGTGTGCGGTTTCCATGATATTTGTGTTGTGTTGGCAGTTTTTTATTTTTTTTTGTTTTAAATGGTTGTTGTTTTACCGTTTTACCCTGTTTTAATTACACTTCTGGTTTTGAATTGGGTGGTGCTAGAGGCACCAACTTTGGGCACCAACTCTCTAATAGAGGTGGAGCCCGCTAATACAACGGGTTCCACGCTCTATTAGAGAGTTGGTGCCTCTAGCATTTTCCTTGAAAATTTTACTTCACCAAAGGCATTTGTGAGTTTTTCAAATGTTTCACTTTCAAGCTTTTCTAAGCATTTTAAAGATTGGATTATCTACTGTAGACGTCCCTGAACTTGGCCCCCAATTGCAATGGGTCCGTGAACTTTTTTTCATGGCAATTACATCTTTTCACTGGACAAACAGTTGCAATTAGATCCTGCCATCCAACTCTGTCAATTTGTCCGTCAAAATGAGAGGTAAAAGCGTCCTTTCGAGTCTAAAGACTCTTCTTCGTTTTTTTCTTTCGGTCTGAAACTCTCCTTCGCTTCATAACCTATGCGAAATCCCCAAAATGAAGAAACTGAAAGCACCAACACAAGACTAAAGCTTCGAATTTGACATTAAAAACCAGAAAAAACAAAGCAAAATGTAAAAGGGAATGCTAGCAACCTTCTATCTAACCTTCTCTTTTGGACCTTCTTCCTTTTTAGCTTGACATGTGTCATTCTTCTTACACTTAAAATAATGTCATTAATATATTATACAAGCTAACTTTTGCTTTCCAAGTTTACCCTTATTAAATGTACTCAATTTATCCAAAAAAATATCACAACTTTCTTACCGTCTTATTATTATTTTTTATTTAAAGAAAATGTCAGCTTTTAAAAAAAAAGAGGAAATGTCCATTTTTTTTAACGTCAAGTTTAGACTTTTTTTTTTTTCTATCTAAACCTTTTGTGTTAATAAAAAAAAAAAGGACATTTCCTCTTTTTAAAAAAAGCAAACATTTTCTTTAAAAAAGATAATTTAAGTTTAAAAAAATTAATAAGATAGTAAGAAAGTTGTGAGCTGACATTTTCTTTAAATAAAAAATAATAATAAGACGGTAAGAAAGTTGTGATATTTTTTTGGATAAATTGAGTACATTTAATAAGGGTAAACTTGGAAAGCAAAAGTTAGCTTGTTTAATATATTAATGACATTGTTTTAAGTGTAAGGAGAATAACACTTGTCAAGCAAAAAATGGAGAAGGTCCAAAGGAGAAGGTTAGAGAAAAGGTTGCTAGCATTTCTCAAATGTAAAAGCCCAAGTGGCAAAGAGAACCAACCTTGCCTGTAGAAATAATCTCTCATCAACTCCTTGGAAAGTGGACATCGAAACCCTTGAGGGCAAGAAAGAACATCATTCAGCTTCAGAGACAGCGATCTCTTCTTGAACTTCAATTCCTTGAGACAATCACAGGGTCTCTCATCAACTCCTTGGAAAGTGCACATCGAAACCCTTGAGGGCAAGAAAGAACATCATTCAGCTTCAGAGACAGCGATCTCTTCTTGAACTTCAATTCCTTGAGAGTCGAGAGATTGTCTTTGGCCTGATCGATTGTTTGAGTGCTGAAATCCTCATCGCCAACAATAGCCCTCACCAGACTCTGCAACTCCTCCTTCAATTCTGTGGCTTTGGCCACCATAGCCGGATCGAAATCAAACACGCCAGTCTTGGCCATTTCGGTTGATTTTGGTTTATGGGTTTTGGGTTTTGCTATGTGGGGATTGAATGATCAAATGGAATTGTGGGTTCTGAGAATGGTGAAGCAGGGGAAGAGAATGGTAGTGATTGCCATTGTTGTCTCTGTTCTTTCTCGTTCTTCCTCTATCTACTCTCAGTAAAAAGGTGCTTTCCCCCTTTCTCTAGCACTAAATTGGATTTTGTTTTGTTCAAAACGACGAAAACTCGAATATACCCCTCACAACAAGAGCACGTGCCATTCACATGGTCAAACTCGACGGGTTCTGTTACGGTATGACCTAATTGCAACTGTTTGTCCAGTTAAAGGATGTAATTGCCATGAAAAAAAGTTCACAGACCCAATTACAACTGGGGGTCAAGTTCATGGACGTCTACAATAGATAACCCTTAAAGATTTTTGAAGGTTTCACTTTTAAGTCCTTCCGCCTTTATAGATATAAATAATAGAAAAGTTGATATATATACAAATTACTATTGAAGAGTTGGGTTTAATCCTTGAATTTAGTCATATAGATAAAGATGCAGGCACTATCTACATATGAGGAGAGGAGAAAATCAATTAATATGAACTCCATTTCTGAATTATTATTATTATTAAGGTGGATTGTCTTACAAATATCACAATCACAAATGCATCTCCCTCAATTTGTTCTGTATTCCTAATGAAGTTGTTTACTAAATCATATGGACTTGGGGTATGAGTGGTTCTAACTACTAAAATGTCATCATTGTTAGGTTAAAGTAGATGGCATATTTGGAATTTTGAAAATTGCGTGAGGATATATAATGGGTTAAAAAGATGAATTCCTAATGGGTTAATTCTCCATGAATTAGAATACTACCTCCCACCCAAGAATTGAATTCCTCCAAAACTAGAAATTCAATTCCTAATTTTATGTGGGCCCCACTTACTTTTCAATTTCTTGATGTGAAGTAAACACATGAATTCTCCATATGTGGAATTCAATTCCTAATGAGAATTCTAATGCCTGATTAGTAAACACACCATATATATACTTGTGGTACATAGTGTTGCGTGCATAACTCTATTTCCACATTGTATATCAAAGTCTTCATCTTGATGTAATTTAATTACTAAGGGTGGAAGGTTATCATGAAATTGTGTCATTTTCAATGAAATTATAATTATTTTAGATATATGATCTGAATATCTGTGATCATGTTAATACAAAGTGGAACATAAGCTCCAATTACTATATAAGCTAAAGATACAACCTTACATATTTATTGCTGGATTAATTGCTGAAAGAAAGCTTATTTTATTACTTATTTCACAAGGCTTGCATGTCACCAACACAGGTTACTCAGACCACAATGCCTTGAACATGTAGCTAAACAGGAGATAACAGACACAGACAGAGTAGCGAGATTAGACCAAACCAACGGATGAAAATAACCCAATGAAAGCCCTTTACCATCAGATCAGATAGATAGTTGTGTGATGAATATGTCATGTTGTTCATGGCCATGATGGCACATTGAATCTGACATTTCGCTTTGCAGCATCTGTCTGATATTCATCTCGCTTTGCACTTTCCTTCAAGTAGCGCAAGGCTGTCTCCATGTCATCTGTTGGGGTGGTAAGTCTTCCCTCGTGACCGGGAGCTGGTGGAGCCCATGTCGAACGGATTGGCCTAGCACCGTTGGATCTCATGGTTGGTCCCATGCTGCCACTATCATTTTTGCGGTGGTAGTCATCGTAGTTGGTGTTTCCATTTGGCTTGTACAATGGTTTGTTGTTGTAGTCACTATAATCACCATAGCCTGTAGTGCCATTATGCCCGGTTTGCTGGGGCGGTTGGCGCCAGTTTACACCGCTCAAGGGTCCAACCCTAGAGGGTTGATCACGGCTGGCTTCAGTGTGGACTTTGGTGAGGAAATTACCAACTTCCTGCGGATAATCATGTTCGGGGCTGGAAGGCCTGCGCAACCTTTGATCATCAGCAGCATAACCATAACCTTTCACAGGGCTTGAAGGCTTGTGCAGCTTGTTGTAATCATCAACAGGATAACCATAACCTTTCACAGGGCTTGAAGGCCTACGCAGCTTGTTGTGATCATCAACAGGATAACCATAACCTTTCAAAGGGCTTGAAGGCCTACGCAGTTTGTTGTAATCATCAACAGAATAACCATAACCTTTCTCAGGGCTTGAAGGCCTGCGCAGCTTGTGATCGTCAGCAGAGTAGCCGTAACCTTTCACAGGGCTTGAAGGCCTACGCCACTTGTCATCAGCATACCCGTACTGTTTCACTGGTTCAACAACCACTGTGGGAGGAGAGCTATGCTTGTATGCAGCCGGGAACGCAGGTGAGAGAATACGTTCCTGAATGATTGTCTCAGTTTTTGTTACATAGGCCCCTGGATTATGGAGGGGAGTGCAACCAATGATTGTTCTTTGTGTTCCGTCAGCATCAACGATGACTGTACGACACTCATCATCTGCATAGCTTGTCTTGCTCCATTCATTGGGGCGTGGTCCTGCCCCCTTGCCGTTAGAGTAACCTGATCTATAACCGTAATCATAGCTGGCCATTTCTTAGCCTGAAGCTTTGAACTATATGATTTACTTTGAGGACTTGTTTCTCACTTGAAACATGTTGAGGCCTCTCCTTTAATATATATATTGAAGGTACAGATATTTTAGCTTTCTATCACATATGCTTCTTTCTCTGATGCACATCATTCCCTTTCACATTGCCAAAGTGTTGAAAGAATCATATTCTGCCAATTCATGGATTGGGACCACCTCCATTATTCTGAACGTCTGATCTTCACTGTTTCATTGGGAGCATAGTTTGATTGAACTTTCGGTCGTGTCCCGCACCGCAACTATAGATCCTGGTTGGCCATTCTCCACCCACCCATATCACCTCATCTTCAGGACTACTAGGCTTAAAATGTTTCCCCTGAAGAGATCCATCAAGATCAATTCTACACCTTTGGCCCAAATCTAGATTTATTCCCTTTTAGAAAGTCTGAAGAATCATGTTCTGCTCACACATGGATTGAGACATCCATTAACCACATGATCCCCTGTCATTTCCTCTGTTCTGAGCAATTGCAAATCCACCCAAGTTTCCTCCCTTATTCGTTTAATCTGTGATGTATTCTTAATGTGAACAGAATATAGTAGAGAGAATAACTTTACATCCTTTATTCTATCATGCTGGAAATACAAATCTGGCTATTTCTGAAGAAGCTTACAACCAAAAACCGTTGTTTCACTCTCACATAGAAGGCTAGCTTGGTCCAGCAAATTCCATATGCTAAATACCGTCGCACACTTCTCTAATATTCTTTTATTTTGGGATTGGTTTCACTCCCACATGAGATTAAGACCTCGACTTCTTGATGTTTCAGCCATAATGTGATGCCTATCCTTGATGTTTCAGCCTTGATATGATACTTCTCTTCGGAAGTAAAATTCTCCGCGAAGAGAACTAAACCGATCCCGGTGAGCTCATGCTAAAACTCGATGTTCCAACTGACAAGGTGGCAGTGAGCATGTACATAAGGAAGGCTTGCAGACAGCTACAATCGAAGCCATTCTCTTTCTCTCTTTTGATTTTGGAGCATGTCATTAGTAGATGTGTAGTTACGAACTCAGAGGAAAGTCTCTTGTCTCACATACAATAGCTTACTTCTGACCTGTTTTACACCTTGTGGATTCTTTTGGTTGAATAGTGAATAGGGCAAGTGATGTACAACATATGGCAGAGATGTTCGAAGAGCAACTCGAATAGTGCACAGTGCATACTTATGAGGTTATCGTTCGATTGCCATCGCTTATTACTTTAGATATCATCTTGATATCCATGATCAGGCTGATATAAAGCCGATCATAAACTATAATTACTTGTTAAGATTATATAGTTACAGAACCCATAATCAACTTTGGGCTTAGTTGCTGAAAATCTTATTTTATTTCTAATTTCACAAAGCAAACATGCCATCATCAGCACAGGTTACAAAGAGTGCACCTCAATGTATTACAATACAGCTAAACAGATGCAGATAACAGAAAACAGATAGAGTGGTTAGGTTAGACCAGACCAACGGATGAAAATGACCCAAGAAAAGCCAAGCTAAAGCATAAAGCACCAAGCCTTAATTAGCATCAGACATTAGTTGCGTGAATTTGTCATGTTGTTCTTGGCCATGCTGAAGACTTTGCACTCTCCTTCAAGTAGTGCAGGGCCCTCTCCATGTCATCTGTTGGAATGCTGAGTCTGCCATCACCACGAACCGGAAGTGTAGAAGTCCATGTTGAATGGCTTGACTTACCGTGGTAGCCACCGTGTGATGTCAGGTTGATTGGCCCCATGCCACTATCATGTTTGCGGTTGTGGTGGTAGTCGTCATAGTTGTCATTCCGAATGGTGTTTCCATTAGGCTTGTACAACGTGTTGTTGCTGTAGTCGCTATAGCCACCATAGCCCGTAGTTCCATTGTATCCAATTTGATTGGGTTGTTGGCCCCAGGTTATGCCATTGAAGGGTGCAACCCTAGGATCACGGCTAGCATCAGTGTGGATTCTGGTGTGGAAACCATCAACGGCGTGGTGTGGTGGGCTTGGAGGCCTACGCCAATTGTCATCAGCAGCATAGCCGTAATTTCTCACTGGCTCAATAAGTGGAGGAGAGCCATGCCTGCATGAAGGTTAACAAAGGTGAGTGGACATGATCATGAATAATTCTCTCGTCTCAAACTTTGTGACATAGCTTTTACCAAAAACAAGAGGAAAAAAAATTTGTATAACATAGCTACCCCGCACTCATCATTGTCAGCAGCATTTGCATACCTTGTTTGGCCCCATTGGTCAGTGTACGATCCTACCCCGTTGCCGGTAGAGTAACCTGATCTGTAACTGTAATCATAGCCGGCCATTGCTTAGTTAGCTTTGAGTTTGGAACTAGCTATATGACTCGACTTCTTTCTCACTTGGAACATGTTGACGCTTCTCCTTGTATATGTACGCAACAGCTAGTTGTGCTACTTTTTGAGCACATATTTCTTTTTCTAATGCACTCCAAGATTCCATTCAAATTCTCCGATTGCTAAAATGTTGAAAACGAATCATGTTCTGCTTATCCATGGATTGTGACCTCCATTACCTTCACTTGCAAGACCTTCACTGTTCAGAATACATTGCTTCTACCAGAAAATTAAGGGGAGAGAGAGAGAGAGAGAGAATATCTTTCTCTATACATGACAAATTACGCGATTATTATGATATATTATCGTGTTTCATTCAGCAAATGCAGAATCAAGTTTTGCAGTCCAGATTTGTGGCGCCAGCATGCACTTATCGAGCCTGCTAGTCTGAAGAGATGCATACATTCAAGAATCAAACCGACCCTTTTGGCAAAACGCAGATTCTGCCTTTCTAAAATATCTCAAGAATCATGTTCTGCGCCCATGCATGGATTGAGACCTCCATCAACCACATGGCATTACCCTGTAATTCCCTCTGGTCTGAGTTCCAACTCTACTTCCTCATTATTTTAAGTCTCTTATTATGGATTCTATATAGAAAAGGCAATCACGTTACATCCTTTATTAGAGATATTGTTGAGTACTTTCTTGTTAATTTCTGTTCAAAGAGGGACATTTACTTCTTTATTTCTTCTGTTTTTCAGGCTATAATGCTTCTTCTTAGACCTCCAATTTCAAGTTTGCAACACAAGATTCAGTATTTCTTTTGAAAAAGATAAAAGAAATAAAAACCCCATTTATTTGGGCCACACAATATGAAACTTGAATTAATTAGTGGAGTTCGTGCACAAAGTGTAGGAAAAATCGGGCTAGGCGGGAGGACGCCGCCGCGAGTTAGGCGCCAGGGAGTTAGGCGGGTCTGGGCGGGCGTTTTGACGTTGAGGCGCGGGTGAAGCGCGCAGGAGGCGGCGACGCGTAACTAGGGAGGAGGAAGAAGAAGAAGAAGAAGAAGAAACAGAGAGAGGAAGGAGAAAGGCAGCACTAGGAAGAAGAAGATATCTGACCTAATTTTTAATAAAACTAACGGGTTGAGTTTTGTAAAATGGGCCTTTTTTTAAACATGGCAAAATGGGCCTATATTGAAAAGAAGAAAACTTTTTTTTGCAGTTTTGGTTTTTTTTTTTTAATATCAAAGTTACAGAAAATACAAAAGTAAAAGCGAGATAATGTAGCGATTTTTCGAACATAAATTGTCAAGGCTCAAATGTTGGAACTTCATGTATAGGGGAATATATTGCCCGATAAGCTGTTCTGTCTATAATACTCCTATAAGGATCCTCCTCCCGCTTCTTAAGCAAGTATGCTAAACTGTTTTCAATGTCAGATTGTATCTCCAAATACAATTTGTTTGCATTTTCTTTATCTTTCAGGATCTCTTTTTTTCCCTTGGTTACTATTGGCTTCCCAAATAAATAGTAAAAGCGCCCTGGTAACTTGGGCAAAACCCCCGGGAAAAAGAGATCTACATTTGCCACCTCCCCGCTCGTCTCATCCCTATAGCCACACCACATTTTTTTTGTCAAAACAAGATAATTCAAGTCTCACAAACAGCTAGTTAAGTTTAGAAAAGAAAAAAATAAAACATGGGGAGTAATTAATTACCTTAATCTTATAGCATCGCGATTAGATTCTTTGATATAGTCACTGATCACAGGGATCTTCTTTAGGTCATTGTAGTCAAAAACCAACTGCCATATACAAATAAGAAGCAGAGCACAATGTTAACTCCGCAAAGTTCAGCTTTAGGTCAATGTTAGCTCAAGAAGAAAAACTGCAAGGTTCAGCTTACTTCTAGTAGGTCATCTTCTCCTACAGCTGCAAACGGTACAATGGTGGCCCCAAATCGTGCAGCCATTCTCACAAATTCCGGTTGATTAGGCCAGAATAGCTCGTATTCTTCACCCTGCCAATTATACAAGCACCATATAAACATGAGAAACCAAAACGATAACATATCAAATTACCAACAAAAATGAAATGTTTCTGTAAAATCCATTGCATACATCTTAGGAACATGCAAAATGGAGACTTCCTTTGTTAGGACAGATAATACAAGGCTCTTAAGTTATTGAAAATTTGGTTTAAGATGACACAAGGAAGGAGCTTGGCACACCTTGAAATGGAGAGCCTCACGTGCACCACCAGGATAGAGCAGAACATGTGATTTTGACGAAAGCAATTTGAATAGATTTTTTGCTGTGACAGGTACTGCACCAAATACTTTGAGCAAGTCCAAGCTAGCCGAGCTCCCGGACTTCCCCCAGAACAACTCTGGATGTGCTGCTCCACGAACCATTATGTTCTTTTCTCTTAAAAATTCTTCAACTAAAGAATTCAGCTCCAATCCCATTAAATTGTGATAACCAACAATTAAGACAGGTCCTTCATGAGGTACTCCAGCAAGACCTCTCACTATCTTCCCATCTTCCAATGTTGAGAACATTACAGAACCAGTAGCTAAGCGTAATAACCTGACATTCATGTATTTTAGTATCAGCTCTCTGGTCCCATATCCACAAATATGTCCACAAGTGGTATACAAAATCATTAGAAAACACAATAGAAAAGGAAACAGAAAAAAAGAAAAAAAAAAGAGTGAAAGTGTTGAACTGAATTACCCGAATACTTCATCGGATGTATATTTGAGTTCTGACATACTAGGAGGAAGAAAATCTGAGACATAATCCCGCTTCCTCGAACGACGGTATTTGCAAGTGCCTTTTATAACTGTCAACAAATTAATGCCATCTTCCTATAACATGACAGCAGGAGTGCAGTCAATTAAGTTTGTGTTTTCACAAGGAAAAGGTACCAAAAAATTAAAACTTCTATTGCACAAGAGTAACACAGTACAGAGAAGTTTGCATCAAAGCATCAAACCAGACTCATAACATACATACATATTTAAACTTACTAGTAATAGGGTATGTCCATTGTCGTTGAAGTGACGAACTGTACAATTCTGTAATGAGTTCATTAGTCGTTGCGCTTCATCTCGACTCGGCACCATGTTATCTTTGCCACTGAAATGCAAATATATGATTTGTACCCAAAGAAAAAATAAATCAAATATATATACACACAATTTTAAATTAATCATTCTTTCATGCGAATGAAGAGAGAACCACATTAGGTATAGTGAACCTGGCCAACACTAGTACTTCAGCTTTAACAGCATGGAGACGGGAATTTGCATAAGCAGCAGCTGACTTGAGCAGCTTCAGCTTCCAAAGAAGAGTCGCCCTCGGTATAATATCAGCCAAAGACTGAAATAAAAATAATAAAAATCTACAGTAAGCGATGAGCAAAGCAAGTATAACCAAATGAAAGATATAAGGTTAAAAACAATTCAAAACGAGTTAAAAGGAGAAAATGATAATTCCAGGAGGAAAAGTACATGAAGTCCAAGAACAGAAATTGCAAGCACTTACTGAGAGGCATGGTAGCAAAGCAGTGAGGTTGCGAGACAATTGTGTAAGTTTTAAACTGGGAGGGAGCCTACTTTCAATATTAACCATCGCCATTTTTGTTGGATCACCTGATGGAATGAAAGTTCGTGTATTTGGCATTGAAAACGAGAAATTTGAGACTGCAAATAGTTGTTTCTGATCATGACACACACATGAAACTTTCCAGGAAAACTAACATCCAAAAGTTCTCAGAACTGCTTTCAACAAATAAAGGAACATAGTTAACTAACACAGGATTGAGAGCAAAGACAAGTGCCAAATTAGCAATGAATTAATTGACTTCTCCACAAATGTTTTTGTTAATCAGATCCTGGAGCAACAAATCACATACCCATAACAAAGCTGAGGAGATAGGGAATTGCGGTATGTAATTCATCAGGTATAGCCTCCAAGATAGGGAACAGAGGTTGTAGCTGAGATCTTTCAATTGATGATGCTAAAATAAAAACAAAAAGTAAAATGTCAGACAGAGTTACGACAGGTCATTAACATAATGTAAGAATATTAGATGAAGAATATTGAACTGCACATCTCATAACCAACCTGAATTGACTAGTATCAGTACTAGATCAATGGTAGGATTACGTGCAGCAACGGCAAGTGATAGGCATCCTCCAAAGGAATCTCCGACCAAATAAATTGGCTTGTTTGGAGATGAAGCATGCTCAAGCCTGATAGTTTCTTCGACAAATTTCACCAGCCCTTCATAATTGAAACCACTCTCTAAATTATTGATTAAGAGTGACATCTTCTTAAATAAAGACCAACAAAAATGATCCTCACTCTCATGAGTTAAAAGTGGGATTACTTCATAAATAACTCCAGAAAGTACTTTGTTCTACACAGATTACGTTTGTATAGATAAATGCATAGATGCATAGTTACAAAACAAACATATATAAAGGCTTTCAAAAATTAAGACCTTCAAATGGTGTTCGATCATTAATAGGAATATGCAGGCATCGAACTTCAAAAGCCCTGCATTTTTCAAGGAAGTATATATCAGAAGTTGCTAGTTAACCTCAAATTTAGCTAAACCTGATTTCTTAACAAGGGCAACCATTTATACGAGTGAAGTTTGAGCAACAAAAAATAATTGTCCAAATTGAAGATAAGAGTTATCTTACCTCCCAAGATCCTATAATTAAGTAATTAATTAATTAATTAATTATGAAAAGAAAAAAACTTACTTCCCAAGAGCTTTATGGTGCAAAATGAGGCCCCACCCAGTACCATCTAGCCCTGCATGCATCAATACCAAAATGATTATGCAAACTTTCTGTAATATAGAATTTCGCTCACTAGCAAACTCATCTTTGAGTATCAGCACATAAGAAACATTTTATTCCTCAAGTTTAGTTATCTTATACATATATCCCTTGTATGCAAATTACAGTACCAAAACTAGAAACCAATTTATGGATTGGCATTTGTGGCCAGGCATCAATTACCAGGCAAAAAGAAAAGAATTGGAGAATCCTTTAATGGCGCCTCGCAAGCAACGGGACAAAACCACCGGGGAGGTCCACCATCAGGCTTAATCATCTCCTTGGTTGCATCAAAATAATCTTTTACAGTCACAGTCCCATACCCATCATCCCACAAAGGTTCCAAACTTTCAAGAACACCATCCTTCACTCTCTTCTCCTTATTAACCTTATGCCTCAACCTCCCATTCCCTTCATCAATCAAAGACCTCCTTTCCTCCCTCTCCTCGATTACGGAAACACCATTCACAGCAACTGAATCTGATGACAAAACTGGTGAATCCTTACTACCTAAAGTCCTAACTTGCACTTGAAACCGAGGTTTATTCTCTGAATTTAACACACAAAAATGAGGTCCTGGGAAGCCTATAACTGATGTCATGGCTTCAAGCAATTGTAAAAGATTATAGACCCCTTGTCAAGGTTCACCAATTCACAAACTTAAGAACTACCACTTGGGAAAAGCTGAACAAAAAAGCTACTAAATTCAGTTGGACTGCCCTCAGACCACTTTAACGTTTGCAATCGCATGTTTCGCACAAACTCTACAGGACACAAAAATGGGTACAAAATTGAAACTTTAAGCAGACCCAGATAGCACTAATGGAAGGTATGGCCTTTAAAACAAGTAAATTCTTAAGCTTTCATCTACTTTAAGAATAATTCGAACCCAATATTGGTACACTGAACGTCAAATATTAGGTAAACCAATAATCTGAACAAAACTGGAAATGAAATAAATGAGTAAATGAAATTATTAGCTAAGAATTTGGATTATACCTGACGTGGGTCTGTGTGGCAGGGAAAGAGTTGAGTTTTGTCCATTGCTTTTTGGTCTGGATGATATTTGGCCACATGGGTCACCTGACTGGCTCTTTGGCTTTTGCAGAAGTTCTGGAAGGGGAAGCTTACCAGTGAACACTGGTAAAACTTTGTAAGTTACTTGGTAGCCGAAAAGGGCAAGGCAATAAAAGAAGAATATATTGTTCGTCCCTCCCGCGCTTTGTTTTCGCTGTAATTTCTAAATGAGGTGAGAGAAGATCTTCTTGTAAAAAATAAGTAAAAGAGAAAGACATTTTAACAAAATATTACTTGAAATGGTGCGTGCGTGGCCCACCTACAAAACCTCTATGAACGAATATCTGACCAAAAGGGAAAAACATTGTATGTAACTCGTAAAGGAACTTTTTTTCAGTGATTTTCAATCCAGTCTGACTGTACTTTTTATATTAGGCTAACTAGCACCACCCCTTTTTCTCTTTTTCTCTTTTTCCTTTTTAAGATGCTCATAATTCATAAGTCAATGTGAGTCTGAACATCAATCAAAATCACAGTTGGCCCATCACAAGTGAGTATCTCTACAGACGGAATTAAAAAAGAAAAAGAAAGCCAATGAGATCTAGCCTAGTGAAAAAGGAAATTGCCTTGCAGATTAAAAGTCTTATGTTCGATTAAAAGTCTTATGTTCGAATCCCACTGCGTTATAGTTTAGAGTCTAAACTATTGCTCTTGTATTTTTTATTTTATTTTTAAAAAAATACAAGATTTTAATGATTTTCGTTGTTTAGCCTCCAAGAAATTGCATGCAAGCAACAAGCACCACCGTCAGTGGGATGACCAAAACTCCATGTGGTTAAGAAGCTTAAGCCAAAACCTAATCAAAGAGAACACAACCATGAGATAGAGATTATGGACCACTCTAAGATCACTCTGTCTGGACCACAGAATTTGATTCTGGTTTGGTAATTGAGCAATCAAAATCAGTTAGGAATGTAAGGTGCTTGCTGGGTACACCTATGGGAATTTGCCAACTTTTGCATATGTACCCAACATTTCTCTTATGAGGGAAAATATACCCAACCAAGGGTGCCCAACTTTAACCTAAAATCAAAGAAGCAGAAAGTTGCTGCACAAACGAAAGCAAATGCCTTGGCCTCCACAAAACAAGAATTTAAGCATTACAACAATAAAAGAATAGGTCCCAATTATTTTTGAATTACATTAAGTGTATACATACACGAGGAAACAAAGAAAACAGGAAAACTACCTGATCATACAGAAAATTATAACCCGTATAATGCAAAATTGGGATTTCATTTAGTATGATCTTATATAAAATAGGAACTACATTAAAGAGCAGCACAAGTCTGGATATGGAATTGAAATGGGACTGTCTTATTCCATGAAACAAAAAAGAAATTAAAATCCCCTTCACAATAGAATATTCTATGGCTAAGTATCATAACTGACAGTACAAATCTACAAATCTTTCATCATCATGTGTCTAATTCGGCTCTTGGGAAGTTCCAAGATACTTCCTGTTAATTTCTCATCCACAGTCGAAAACTCTATCTACTGTCACATGCAGACAACCAATTGAGAAAATCTGCAGCGTCCAGCAAAAGCTTTCATGTCAGCGACAAAGTTCAAGATTTATGGGTGCCCAACCTGCCCAACAAGGAACATGCTTAACCAGAGCCGTCTTGGCAAGTTTTGGGGGATGCCACTGGATTCCGCAATCAATTGGTTTTCAAACTTTACAAATGTATTTCTGAATACCAAGAGCTTCCCCAGAAAAATCAATATTTCCCCTTTATCTTAAACACAATATCACCTGCAAGTATCAACAACAAAGCTTGAGCATAATCTAAAGTCTACATCAGTTTTAAGACATGTCAACTTTGGTTTTTCAGGAAATAAAGAAGTCACGTATATTAAAGTTCGCAAACATAATAATAAATGTGTAACAAATACAGAGCGGATATAGCTACTGTCGGATAAAGCTCTGACATTTCTCACCATCTAATGTTCTTTTCTGTTCCTATCAGTAAAAATGAGTGAAAAAACTGATCTAACCAAAAAGTCTTCTATTTGCTGAAATAATTCAAAATGTTCATGTCTTCCATCACTTCTTTACTAGAAATTTACAGAAACTTGCATAGAAAGGATAAAAATAACCACCTCACCTCCGGAATCTAGCACACAATCACCTTCCCTGAACCACCCTGTAATTGAGAATCAGGTCCTCAGATTTCTTCCATATATAAGCCCGCACTGTGGCTAAGCTCATTTCTGGGGACAAGACCTGCGCATTTAGATAGCAGTTCAAAATCAGAAACGATCAAATTAAACTCTACTAAATCCATTTAGCTTGATCCCATAATTAGAAAATGCATTTACCTCTAGCTTAAACTTTTAACAGTTATAGCTCATTAAACTTTTTTAGCACCATAGAAGAGTCCTACTAAAAAGTTAATTTACTAATTACTATCTATGTGACTACATACAGCCAATATGTTTATCCACTTGCCTGATTATTGCACAATATCTCTATAGAAGGCTTAAGCTTTTGCCATGGCTTCAATCCAGATCGAAAAGATCCATCTCCAATGGCTGATAGTTGCACTGGTCCTCCAGCAATACCAGGAGCAAGTGTTGTATCAGGATTTGCACTATCCAATGGTTTGTCAAGGACCATCTTTTCAATTACATAATTAACAACCTGCATACCAAGACAAAGCAACCAAAGCTGGTTATATTGTATGTTATTGATAAACCAAATACTGAGATTTAAAAATTATCTTCCATCACAGCAGCTGTGGACACCAAGAGAAAAGGATAGGTTCTGCTGGCATCCACTTTTCATGTTGCCATTCGAATCCAAATCAATGCCTTTCAGCATTTCAATAAAAAATAACAATTGTACTTTAAACTACTAACAAATAATGCAGACGTAGAAACTTTGGCTTTCTCATTACTGTTTTCAAAAGGTATTATTCTATCATACTCCAGCAGTCATTGCATTTCACCAAGAATCTTACTCTTTAGCACAATGAAGGAAACTATTCACTTGCCTTAGAAAAATAATAATAAAATTAAGGCATCAACAACCATGAAACCCATAACTTACTTTATGAATTCGTAATATACGAGGTGCACTAAGTTTCCCTTGTGTGAGGATCTGAACAGCTGAACCTTCGCATGGATGTAGATAAAAACTGCACCTGTAAAGATAAACCAAAACAAAAAATAAACAATCATAATCATCCAAACCAGATAACTATTTCAGACTTCTGCATATCATAAGTCTATCAAACTTTTTTTTTTTTTCCATTTATTTGTGAGATAGTCTAATAAAGGATTTTTACCAACAAGATAAATCTACCAAAATATATAATATTTCAAAGATAATGATTAAATTAGCAAACTGAAAATCAAACACCATCCAGAAAAAAGAAAGATTTTTTTTAAAGGAGAAATTTCAGCCACAAGGAGTTAAAAACAGAATCATTGAAAAGAAAGGAAACAAGTCACTTCTCTACTATATTTCATGATAGCTCTATTCAGGAACTTTAGTTTCAACAATTATTGCTAGAGTGAACATCTTTCAGGAAGTGTTGATGCAAGCAAACAATAAAACTGAAACATATCCCTGCAACATTACCACTTTTTATAAATCGTTCAAAATTCAACATGCACAAAGTTAATTGCAACTTTCAGGCAAGTAATTTTTTGAACAGACATAAGCACTATCATCTATAGAAAATAGAATATATTCTCAGGCAGGAAATAAAAACTTCAAACAAAAGCAAGGAGAACTACATTGAAAATAAGTAAGTTACTTGGTGTTCTCTCTAGGGGGTAGGCGATTATTCAACACGCAATCGAGACACCACCAAGGAAAGTCCTTCTCATCTTCAGTACCATCTAGGTCAGTGATTTTCTTCCTCCATGGGCCTCCCTGAGAGCCCTCAGTTATAACCGAAGGAGGGGAAGCTGTAGAAAATTCAAAGGGAGGATAGACCATTGAATCGTTTTCAGTATTACTATCCACCTCAATTCTTGAATGCGTAATACTTCTAGTGGTAACTTCCTTTCCAGATGGTGCATCCCCATTAGCAGATGCTTGCACTCCAAATCTTTGCTTTCTTTTTGCCAACCAGTGAGCCAAGAGCCCTTTAAGGGTTTCTCGTGCTAGATTAACCTGAAAAGTTACAAGCACTCAATTTAACTTTTTATTTATTTTCTGAAACCACTTTCGTAACGGGAGGGTAGAGGGAAAGATAAAAAGGAAGCTAGACTTGGCTTTACTAATACATCGTTAAATTCATACGTATTAAATTATTAATCAATAATTGTAAGTAATGTAATGCATTACTAATCCTTTTCAATTCATTATCTCAGGCATATTTTTTGACAGAATTTTAGTAAGCATCGTGCATATATATATATATATATATATATATATATATATATATGAAAGTTCATTCACTAAATTTATAATAGAGAAAGAGTTTTGGTTTGGCTCTTTCTTTATTTTATGACTTTTTATAATCGAATTTTTTGGATTTTCAGGGATACGAACTTAAATTCGTTGCTTCGAGACCAAAATTTTTACAAATAAATATATGGAATGGATAAAAATTTTTACAAACAAAATTTTTTACAAAAAATGAGTCTAGGGAGCCTGAACCCTTTTACATAGATTTGCCTAATAATCCTCTCAGGCTTCCCCACAATGTTAAGGTCTACTGAATACATCTCTGCTGAAAAGCATTGTGGGGTGTCCAGATGTACAGATAAACTTCCAAGCCTGGTATCCACTGTGAACCATGCAGGAATGCTCACCTGAAGCAGTAAAGAAATCATTAAGAAAATCTATTAAGTTGTTAAGCTCAAACCATATTAGACCAGGAAGCATACCATCTCAAAAAGCTCTTCTTTTTTCTCCTCAAATGTGGCCTGTATGGTAGACATTACAAGGATAGATGCTTATAATCTGCCCTAAAAAAAACTTCAATATACAAAAAACAATTGCCAGAAATCTGCGGCCCCAATCAGGCATTAGTTCTATACACATTAGATGGTTCTAGTCAGATATTTACAGGAAAAAAAGAATGTATCACCTTTCCATAATCCTCAATAACAACACCCCGAGTAATCTCCCACAACTTGACCGAACCAGCAGTATCCTATCATAATCGCATCGGTTCATAAAATCAAACTCGGCAAGACATACTATTTGACAACAAAACTGGTTAACTTAAAACAGGCGCTTCATCATAATAACATATGAGAAAGTCAACATGATTTACCTTTGTCAAGACATGCCTTCTATTGTTTAATATTTCATGCTGCACTATTCCAGGAGTTCCAGGAATCGTAAATATTGGTTCTTTATAAACAGGGACCTGGACAACATTTATCAAAATAACATTAATCCTCCAAACTCAAAGGTCTGACATGACAAACACCAAATAAGACCCAAAAGAAAAAGATACGCACAGCTAACATGACAACTAGAGGATGATACATGCGCATGCAACAACAAGACCAAAATTTTGAAATACAATGAACTAAGCGATACTTACTAGGGTTGATCCTTCTAGGGACACCCTTGCTCTTGAAAAGGACAAATTTCCAGCCAAGAATGCACCACCTCTTTGAATAATCTTCTGAGGATTGCGCCCTTCAGCAGGCCATCTATGAACTGAAGAATCCGTTGTTGCAGCCCATATACTATCGTCATGTAAGGCCAACTGCAGAATGGGGTGTTCCCCAGTGCAAAGCAAAAGACTCTCTCTTGTGGCCAAGTCTGTCAAGTATAACTGAGGGAACAAACAACATTGGGCATTAAGCAGATGAGCAGCAAATCTAAACAGCCAAAGATGTCTCAGAACATAAGTTACATGAGAAAAATGTACTCACAGAAAGGTCCCTCCCACCACTATATACATGACTAAATGTCGGGGTACTGGCAAGTGCCCAAACAGAATCTGTGTGCACAGCATAAGAATGCACACATCGTTGCTGACCAAGATCCCATAGCCTACAAAATGGGCAAAGAATTTGGTGAACTATACAGATGACGAAATACCAACTACTTATCACATAAACAATTACATCTTTCAACTTGCATCTAATGCTAACTATGCTAACTGTCCGCGTAGTTAAAGGAGAGATATGTGAGTTATCAACCTGATCATAGAATCAGAAGATCCTGATAAGCAGTATCTGCAGAAATGAAATTTAAAACACAAACGTTAATACTGGTAGCAAAACAAGATTGTACGAATGCAGCACATAGAACAAGGCAATTAGATAAATAAATAATTCATTATCAAATCAAGGTTCTAACTTGTATGTTCAATGCACTTTGCTGTAACATCTATAAGTGATATTCCAAACATTATTCGACACCTAGAATAATATCATATATTTGAATTTCAAATATAGTTCATTTTACAAACCGAACTATGCAAGACAATGGGTAAACTAAAATCATTTTAAAGTGCTCAATCAAGACAGGCTATGATAAAATAATCCAACCAACCTTCCAGTAGAATCAAGAAGCAGAGCCCTGATATTGTCTGTATGCCCTCTTAGTTTCATGGTCTTCGAACCAGTTCTAGGGTCCCAAACACGCACAACCTAAGGGCATCATGAAATGATTTATAGTTATTAACACGAAGATGAAAGTTATTATGTTCAACCCAAAGTTGGTACACTGCTGCAATTTTTAGACAATTCCTTGCGTACAAAACAAACATAACAAATATGGGACATTAAACCAACTACCAACATCAAAATATACCTTCTCTGTTCCACCAGAGACAAGGAGTGATCCACTATCATTCATTGCCAAAGCATAAACTGATTCCTTATGGCCTTTGGCAGGAACTGGAACATATCCATGCGACTGAGTTGTGTGCACAGAAATACTGTTGCTAGAGCTGATAGTACGTAAACTTGTAATCGGTAGTGCATTTCCAGAACCATTGACAACATTTGAAGAGTCATCTTCCATTGAATCACCTGACTTTGAGACCGGAGTAAGAGCTGCTTCAAGATCCCATACGAATACCTCCCCTCCAAGTCCCCCAGAGGCAACAACATTGCTCTAAAATGCGTGACACTATAAAAGGATCAGAAATTTTCTTTTTTTCTTATAGGAAATGAGAAAATATATTCAAGATAAACGGGTACGAATAAAGATGGACAAGATTCCTCCAAGCACAAGTTGTGCTATCAAATTGAACATGAAACTAATCATATAGCAGGAGTGCAACGACCAAACCTTTCATCCATGCTAAGGTGGATAAAAATTTGACAAGAAAATTACATTTTTTTCTGCCACGGCAAGACAAGTGACATAGTCAGAATGCTGACGAAGAGTTCTGGTACAAGTTCCATTCGACAAGCAATTCCAAGTCTGACACATGGATAAGCATACAATAAAAACATACAAATAAGTTACAGCAAAAGACATTGCATAAGTTACAAAACCAGAACAAAGATCTAAGCCACTGAACCTTGAGGGTAGTATCTGAAGAACAAGAAACAAGCGTATTATCACCTGCAAGAACAGCATCATTAACCTGCACAACAAAAGTACTCTATAAGTATAGGTTTGTAACTTATGCATGCAGGAACTCATTTTTCATGAGAAAAATGAGAACTCTCATAAATTAAACATCTACAGGACCTCATATGGTAAGTTCAGTATAAAAAATTAAAAAAATTTAAACAAAAACAAAGGGTTTAAACATAAAAAGAAAAATGCATACCCAGTCCACATGAGACTCAAAGGTTGCTGAGCATGTAGCAGCATCTTCAGCCAGCGCCCACCTTTTTAGTGTGCCATCACGGCTTCCAGTGAACAGGTAATCACACCCAGACACTGATGCCTTCAATACAGCCAAACAATTTATGCCGGCACAATGCTGCAGACAGAGAAACGATCCAAACACAGTAACATAAGCATTTATTACTTAATACCACAAAATGCTGAACATGCATAATGCTAATATAGGGAGATGACACAAAATTGGTAGAGTGCCGTGCCTTCTAAATCCAAAAGTGAGACTTATATATTTACAAATAACTAAACACAAATAATTCTAACGAATAAAAACTTAATGACAGAACTTAACACAAAAATCAGGAGAAAGATACTGAATCAATTCACCTTTGTGTCATCAGCATCACTCAACACATATGTTAATCTCTTCTCTTTACGAGGGCGAGTGGAATTGGCTGTGTTCCCTGCACTACCCACACGGTGCATCGCAGAAACAACTAGAACAAAAGTAAGAAAAATTAACGATCAACAAATAAATATAATAGTGGTTACAATGATGATTTCCTAAAAGTGACCCCAGTTTTAGGATATATTTGCAGTCCTAGCAAGTGTTGTATCACAAAAGGCATTGCCAAAACACTAGAAATAAGTATACCACAACCCTAACAACTTAGTTATTCATTTCAGTTTGTGAATACATTATATACGTACCATAGGTAATATATCCCATGCATATGATAAACAGATTTGCTTTCTCCAAATGTTAAGGAATATTTTATCATGTAATCACCTCTCAAATGAAATCAATACCTAATGCAACTATAATTAAAAGAAATCAATACACTTCCATGAAAGAAATAGAAAAATGTTTGTTAATATCAGATAGAATATAATTGTTTTGTACATACATATTTATTATATATAACAACATATATTTAGCCTTTGAAACCAAAATGCAGAACTTAATACTGATTTTTGCACCAATGAGTAAATAAAAACCCTACAGAATAGGGTCTGAATGCTTTTTTCTTTTTTCTCTCTCTCTCTCCCTGTCTCTTCTCGATCAGTGGATAAGCTTCTAAATGTCAACTAAAACATTGCCTCCTAAGCATAACAGATGAAACAGTGACACTTCTTAGCCCTATAAACCACACAGCAACAAACACCACACAACCTCATAAACTCCCCCAACCCACAACTGATGTATAATCAAAACGCACTATAGATACATGTATCCGGACAACAACTGTGAAAATCATTGCTGACCACCCAGAGCAATTGCTAAAGGTTTTAATCAAAAGCTTTCAGTAGCGCCTTTTCAACTATCCAATTGCAACTTTGATTTGCCTAAAAAATGGGGCTGTATCTCAAAATTTCGTGCAACCCGTCTATCTATTCAAAATATTCCAAAAATCACAGAATCAATCACTAACAGATTAACTAAAATAGATTAACCCAGTACAAGTTTTAAGCTCCGTAAAACCTCGTCGAGAGAATAAACCCAAAACACCAACAAAATAAGAAAATACAAAACCCAAACCCATTGATCATTTCGTATTTACCAATCAGATCACCAACTCCACTAATTTATACAAAATCCATATAAGAAAAAAAAATGCGTATCAATTTATTTTATCCAAAAAATCAAGCCAGACCGTGGAGTTACAGAAAAAGAAAAGGAGTGAAATTAACAAAGTGAAAACCCTGACCTTATCAACCAATGAAGAATTTGAAGCTCCTCCTCTTTGCTCGTTTTCTTCTTCTTCTACTGCCTGAGTTGCGATATAAGAGTGGAAATTGCTTTGGGTGTGGGTTTCGATTTTAATGTGGCCGAGTCCTTTGACTCAGTTTTTTGGGGTTCTGATCGAGGGTGATATTGTCCTTTTGCATAACTATATAAATTACTTTGAGCGTGGACTTGGCTATACTCGCGGATAGACGCGGGTAGCTGGATACTCGTTTCGCTGGCAATTGGTTCCTAGGGTGGGGCCGGCTGGGGACGATAGAGAGATATAGTTGAATTACAAAATGGCCCCTCAGCCGATGTGAATGGCGGTCTCCGGAGATGGTATTTGCGAGTGCGATTGAAAAATTTTCCCTCATATTTTTGCGCAATTATGTAAATTTCATTCTAAAAATATATGCATTGATTGTGTCACAAAAATTTAATACCATCTGCACGTCAAACTATAATTTTTTTTTTATCAAAAAAGTTTGTCTCCCAACAAAATCTACTTGATTTACAAATCAGTGGTCTTAAATTTGAACCATCATGACACATTAATAGTGTATGTGTGAGAAACCCTTTTTCCGTCTCGTTATAAATAAATAAAACTTTTATACACTAAATATGACAATGTGTGATACATCCTCCAACTATAAGCATTTAAATTTTCTAATCCATGCTAAACAATCAATTATTTAGTATAAAAAAGTTAGTGGGTTTTCTCTCTTTTTTTTGTCAATCAATAGTGATAATTCTCATCCTAATATTATTTCTTTATAATACATTGATTTGATTGATGACAGTCCTCGAATTAAAGACTTGAATCATGATGACCTTAGTTATATCATAAAGCCAACAAATCTAGGAAATTAGCTTCTCATCATTTATAAAAAAAAATAAGCGATAGTTTTTATTGATAAACAAACGAAAGTACAAAGCAACTATGTGCATAATATGGATAAATCTTCTTCAATGACCAAACGCAACAAGATGTTGAATCGATTTAGAGAGAATCACACACAACTCTAAAATAACTAAAATCCTCACCTTCTCATCTTAATATTGAAAGATGTCATAATTTCAAAAACCCACTCCTCCATTAATAAAAATAATCAAAGTTTAACTTCATGTGTCTTTTTTTTTTTTTTTTGGGTATCAGTCATATAATCATTTCCTTTAAGTGAATATTAGAACACAAACATCATATTTTGGGGGTGGGGTTTCTTGCAGCATTTTACAAAATATATCTATGTGTGTCTACTCCCCAGTTGCATGAGATTGCATTAGGAACAAAAATATATAAAAAAAAGAGCAGAATTTGGGATGTTCTATAATAAAGTTGGAGATTAAGAAGATAATAGCTAACCAATAAAAAAAAAAAGTAAGGATGAACCAGTACACATCCCATATTTATCTAAATTTATATAATTAGTTGATAATTCACACGTGGCATGTCATCCAAAATTTATATATAAAACATGTTTGCTGGTTTAACCTAGACATGACAATATCATACACGATGCGTTAACACAAAAGAAATTTTTATGAAAAAATCATTATTCGGGTCGGAGACGAGTCGTGTTAAAAATGGGTGGACATCAAGGGCGGATGGAGCTAAGGCCCATGGGAGGTCCTATGCTATGGCCCCCTCTCAATGTTCTTGAGACCTTCGGTTTCTTAACATAATTACATATTTTTTATCAAACTTCAAAGTGTCTTTTATGTTTTTCTTCTTTCCCTTTTCCATTATTATTACTACACATAATCTCTTTTTGTCTTATTTTGACTTTGATTGTAGTAATAAACTACCATTTGAATTTTTTTTTTTTTTGGGATAGGACATTTGAATTTTGTTTGTGTGTATATTTAACTAAGTAGATGCAATATATTTTGCTAGTATCAATGATGAATAGATAGTTAATATGATATATAAAATAATAGAGTATAGTAATTAAATTTATGAATTTGTATAAAGCAAAAAATTAATTAAAATGTCACCGTAAAGAAAAAAAAAATCAATATATGAGATGCTCCCTCTGTAAAAAATTTATAACTCCGCCACTGGTGGACATGTTAGCCACTCATTAAGCTAATGGCCATATTGTGTGAATTCGCAAATACCCGTTATCACCCATTACAAATAGAGATATTTAGTCAAATACCCAATCTTAGCACTAAAACTATAAATAAACCCTACATCATTTAATTTCTATAAACAAACCCAAAAAAAACCCCCAAAATGACAATTGGCCATATTGAATTTAATTTTGATTATTAAATTACTTTGATGCCCTATTGAGTTTTTTGGGCTTTTTTTATATGTTTTGAGGTTGAGTTTGTTTTAAGAAATCAATGGTAGTTTTGTAATTTAAAAGAAGTTAAAAGCCATTTTGTTATGTTGTAAATGGGCTTTGGGTGTGTTTATAAAGTCCATTTCATATGGGGTATTTTTATAATTTGAGCTTCTATATTGGGTTTAATAGTGAATCTCCCTTAAAAGTAGGCATAGTTTTGTAATTTTATATGTCTTTTTTTTTTTTTTTTCCTTCTCCCCTTCTCGCCCATTAAGAGTGGGGATAGTGTGCATATTCAAAATAGGTTTGGTGAGGTGGTAGGCATCAATACATGGCGGTCAAACTGGAAATTCCGATAAGACATCCAATGCGCCACATGACTTGGACCACTTTGCCTTTTTTGGGTTTTCCGTTGCCCCCCGCCAAATGTCAACTCACTAAAAGCGAATACCAAGTGCTAACCGAGAAGGCAACTATTAATTATTCAAATTCCGAATAAATTATTTGTTCTTATTAATAGAAAATGCATTTATTGGAAATGTTCAATAGAAGCTACTCCCTTACATAAATCGTTTATGTATATATATATATATATATATACCAAGAGAACGGGACTAATTATATATGTATATTATTTATTTTTTTTGGCTAAGACCACAATAAATACTTTAATAGCCTTGTAAAGTTAAATTAGACTATGAATGAAGGCTTATCCCCTAACTCTTCCTACTCTTAAGTTGCATGTGGATAAAAGAATTTATGAAAAATAAATTAGAACTTTGATCATCTTATAAATATATTTGAATTTGGATGATAAAATTACGTTGATTATTTAAAAAAAAAACCTTCAAACTACTAGATAAAATGTATTTAAGAATGCCTAAATATATTGAACTTTTTGTATCATATAATATTTTGAGTTTGAAATGACTAGCTAGAGTACGAAATACAATACAAAAATACACTAAATCATGTGAAAAATCATTCAGTGTTTTTTTTGTAAATGATATATTTTCATCTCATACAAATAACAAATATTATATTCAAGAAATTGATTAACTAATTGTTGAGGCCCAAAAAATCCAGGGTTGGGCCTAAATAAATTCCCGGCCCAATGCAATACCTTACTGAGAAGAAACTTGGTGTGGGCATGCGAAAATTCGTCATACACGCTCGCATGAGTCATGATCCACATGCCATGTAAAATAAATATGTAATCCGTCACGCTGAGAGTTGAAACAAACCTATAAAATGCACTGGCTCTATGAACCCATGCTAATTATCTCATCAAGCGTCATAGCCTTCGAGCACGAGTATGCTAATCGACATGTCATGCCAAGCGAAAAACCATTATTTTGCACCTAACCACGCTACAAGTTTAAGTGGGCCCAAGCCACGCAAATGCCCGAGGCTTATTGAGTGGGTTGTGGTATGGATGGTTACGAGCATTCACGAGGCCCATTGATGGGCCAAGAAGTGGAAGTTTTGGGCTGTTTGGGAGCCCTAAAACTCGAGCCCATTTCTTGAGCCCAAATATGTGGGTAAGCATGAAATAGAGAAAAAGGTAGCTCATTACCTTAGAAAATTGGCCCATCACCTTAGTAAAAATAATCTATCACTTTAGGAAGTTGGCTCATTCCCTTAATAGACTAACCCATCACCTTAGGAAGGCCCAAATGACCAACAAAATATCTGAAAGTCTCCAGCACATGGCTGGAGACAAAACCACGACAAAAGCCAAGGGTTACTCATGTATGCAGATTGCTGGGAGTCTTCAACACATGGCCGAGAAACAAACCCAAGGTAGACCATTCGAAGAACCAATTGATATTAGCGTGCGTAGCACCCTTCAAACCAACGATGTTACCCATCTCTTTCTCCTACCAGCTCTTGCCATGAATAAGGGAGGAAAGAAGGAGATATGGTAACCAAATATAAGAGATTGCTACTAGAACAGCTGCGGGAAGGCTCTAGAGCCTCTAAAAATCTTATCTTTGAGTGCTTGGACTAAGGAAGATTTCACAAAATAAAGATGAATCAAATGAAGAAAAGAGAAAGGGAGGGGGAGACTTGGTAGATTGGGGAGGAAACATCTAGGGTTCCTTGGGAAGAAGGAGCTTCCAACGCTTATAAAAGAGGCATCTCCTACCCATCATCTTACAACCCTTTTCCAGAGGAAGCAAGCAACACCTCTCATCCCTAGAACACTTTAATTTCGAGCCCTATTCATCCATCTTCTCATCTGGCAAGCCATTCCAAAGCCTGACGAACCCTTCGTCAAGCTGCCAAAAAATTACTCAAAGCACCCATTCTTCCACCTTAATATCTGTCTCTCTGGCTCTCTCTCTCTCTTCTAAGCAAATTCTCTCGAAATCCTTTGCTTTAACCCTCTGTTTCTCGTAGAAAATATGCTCTCTCTCTCTCTCTCTCTCTCTCTCTCTCTCTCTCTCTCTCTCTCTCTCTCTCTCATGCTAAACTCATGAATGCTTAGCTTCCATGCCATAAGCTTCTTAAGCCAAACCAATAATTTATTTGTAAGCGACTGTTGGTTTCATTGGTGAAGAAGACCAATGTGTTTCCTAAGGCTCAGTTACCCTTTCGAAGCACTCTTGTGGTATGTTTTTTGAACTCAGACTCAAGGACAATTTCCCACATTTGGCTCTTTACAACAGCCTAGGCCCGTCAATAGCTGCCAGAACGAAAAAGCCCCCACACTAATGAATAATGCTACTCTTACCACATTTGTATACCACATTCTCATACCACTTTATATGGTAGATGAGGTGGACAACAAATCAATTAAAATTAATTTAACATTTTATTTTCTTTTATGATTTATTGACACTTTTTAATTGATATGGTTGTCCACTTCATCAGCCACATAAGGTAGTATGAGAATGTGATATACAAATGTGGTAAGAGTAGCATTGCTCTTAACTAATTACCCTAACTAAATACATATCAACAAACCGAAGTCTGATTCTATTCTCTATTTATGACCCAGAAAAAAAAGATTATATTCCCAATCAATGGGCCTTCCTCAGTCAGTACCCAATAGTTGAAGAGGTTCAAGTTCAGACCCAAAGCCCAAATCCAACTACACATTATATTAGCCCAAGGCCCAACCGAACCACATATATTAGCCCAAGGCCCAAATTCCAGTTTACTTGTGGGCCGAAAAAATGTGGGCTGAATCGAAATTATTTATAATAAAAAAAATTAATTTTGAAAATAGAAATAGATGAGGAATTTATTATTATTATTTTTTTGGTCAAAGAGATGCTTCATTAAAACTAGCCTCCCTGCACGCGCTTCCGCGCGTGCGATAGGCTTTTTTTAATCACGCGCGCTACGCGCGACTTCCAAAGTTCCATAAATATTTTTTTCGCAATTGTATTTATATAGATGTCTGTTTCAACAGTTTCATATTTTAATCGCGCGCGTGTGATAAATCATCGTGTTAAGAGTTTTCTTTTATCGCCCGTATTTTTCTAGAAGTCCATCTTAACAGTTCCTATTTTTTTCTTTTATAGTGTGTAAACTGCTAAGATGGACGTCTAGGAAAATACGGGCGATAAAAGAAAACTCTTAACACGATGATTTATCACACGCGTGCGATTAAAATATGAAACTGTTGAAACAGACATCTATATAAATACAATTGCGAAAAAAATATTTATGGAACTTTGGAAGTCGCGCGTAGCGCGCGTGATTAAAAAAAGCCTCTCGCAACCCGTTCCTCTCTAATTGATCACTTTTTCATTGTCAATCTGTACATAAATAACATGAGATGAGACCAAGTTTAAACATATACTTTTAAATTTTGACAAATTTTAGCATAATTTGGGAACATGTATACTCACCTTCAATTTTGATAGTTTATCCTTTGCTACATCCCTACTCCAATTATCGGAAGAAAACTGTACCAAAAATAGTGTCATTTTCAAAAATCCAGAGACAAAAGAAAAATCCAGAGACAAAAGAAAAATCCTTTCGTTTCTTTATAAGAAGCCAAGTTTAACAATAAAATAATTAATAAGAAATTTCTAGATGTACGTCTCAACAGTTTGTTTTTTTCTTTCATCGCATGTAAACCGTTGTAGTGGCATTCGCAATTGCTCTGATGTGGAAACTTATTTGAAGCCTATGTGCTGTATTGGTGGTTAAACCTCTGGATTGGAAATATACCAAATTTCCCGTGTTAAAAAATTTCTCCTTTTTTTTTAATTTTATTATTTTTGTTTCATTTTCTTCCTTTTGTTTCTCAGCAAAGGAGAACAAATGATCATTTCAACTGTTGTAGTCAAACAAATTCTTTGATCCCATTGTTGTTAGGAAACAAACAACATTTAATACAACACATAATTTTTTATGAATATAACTAAATTTCAAGGCTGATAAACCTAAAGAAGTTGAAGACCCACACGTGCAGCCGATCTATCTACAACAACAATGAGAGAACAATAACTCCTGCACAACAATTATCGTGGGTTTGATAATTCATGAAGCCAGTAGCAAAAGAAAACTTGAAGTATAATGAAGAAAAAAAAAAGGAAAACCTTTCCCCCCTTTTCCTCCCTCCCACTCTATTTTAATTCCTGTAGCAAATGAATCCCCTGAGAAATAAAAGAAAACCAAAAAGAGAGATAAAAAGAAGGCATCAAACCAAAGCGTCATAAAAAACCAAACCAAACCAAAAGAACTGAAAACTGGAGAGAAGGCAGAGAAATAAATGTATAATTAAAAGCTTTTTTTATTGAGCCTATTAAATGTCAAATGTCACAAAATGCACAAAATCATGAGAAAGAGAATTACCTGAGAGGATTGGTGAATTAGTTAGACATCACGATTTTGTACCCCAAACCCAAACATATGATTCTGTATTCAGAAGGAATAAAACCATGAACCAAAAAAAATAAAAATAAAGCCAGACTAAGCATCCAAACAGATATATCACTTAAGTGGTGTAATGAAAACACAGAATAAACAATTATTTCAATGTAATCGGTTTTGTTGAAAGCAGCTCACCAATTCCTCTGCAAGCCTCCTGCACTTTGGGAAGTTGAACCCCCCTTGAAAACCTACAATGTTAACAATTCACATTAAGGAACGAAAGTAAAAAAAATAGCCATTTGAACGAAATTTGAAACATAAAGATTGCATACGTCTTTATTTAAAACCAATCTCAATACATCAAGATTGCATACGTCTGCTTGAACATAAAAGCCTCCAGCTGCTGTCTTCTTTGTCACCAATTTAACTATCAAAGAAACAAATATCAGCATAAAAAGAAACAAACCTCTAAAAAGAGAAGAAACACAGCCACAGCCAGTAAGTCCTTTAGCAGTTTTCCTCCCCTTGAACTCCCTCCATCTCTATCATCCTCATTTTGCTTTTAATTCTTCTACCAAAGGAATCCCAGGAGAAAAAAAAGATAGAAGGAAAAAAATCATAGCATAATCTGTATACATGCGGTCCTCCTCGTCTTAGAACCCTTTCACCCCGTTCACCTTCCTGGCTTGGGTTTCATATCACAGTCATGGCCAAAAGAGATGTTCTCAGCTACCAACTGCTCCACATAACCAAGTGAGCAGGGGTTGCAATATCCACAATATACAACATATACATATATATCTATATAATAGTAGAAATATAGCAACAGTAGTCATTGTCATCAGTTTAAGACAATCTATAAGTTATGGCAAGTTTAAATCTCAATTATATATGAAGAGCCAACAATACACAAAAAGAGGGTTGCATTTCCTCGAATGCAGTAATGTATATGGATGAAACTATTTTTCATCTCTGTTTTCTCTAAACAGATTGCTTCTTTATAAACAGATTGGCAAAAAAAGAAAAACAACATAAACAGATTGCTTCTTTATATAACCTGAGAAGAGAACCAAACAACGCACTCAGTAAGGAAATAACATAATAACAAATACACAAAATTTGTGATGAAAGAATAACAAAACCCACCATTTCATAAAATGAACGACCAAGGAACAAATATGAGACTTGTTGCAACATCTCTCTGTTTTCTCTTCAAAGTATTCTCTGCAAAAGAGTGAAGAAAAAAAAAAACTCCACCATGTCATTTGAATTCGTAGAACAAAACCAAATACATTTTATCAAACACCTACCCTGCGAATTAACCATGCGAGTAAACACCTACCCTATTCTTGGAGTTGCAGCAACTGTTCTTGAATAATCAAGAATCCAAATATAAGTTGAATAACCAAACTTTCATTCATATCTTAAATTTCATACCTACCATTTCATATAGCAAATAAAAATCAATCCGATAAATGGTGAGCATGCAGCAAAAGGAGTAAGTTTCTCAAAACTCTCTTACCCACTGTAATTTACCGTTTCATTTGGACATGGGTCTGATATGAACACAAAAGCCATGAGAACCGTTCAACATACACGATAGAGAAATACGGAAAATCATCAACAAACACCTTTCCTCTAAAACCTTCTCTGAACGTGAAAGATCTCAAAACCCAATCAAAGAAAGAATATAATACAAATAAGAAAGAAAGATCTGTTAGGCTTACCACCTTCTAAAACTTTCAGTTGAAATCATAGGTGTTTAATTCTTGGAGATGCTGGGAAGTAACCCAATTAAATGAGAAATTTTCTGAGGAAACCAAAACAACAGTAAAAGAGGGATAAAAAGAAGGCATGCATCAAATTAAGCGGGGAAAACCTGGGAAATTGGTGAAGCTGGCAAGGAGCGTTGTGGTTGTTCCCAGCCGTGGTTCTCTATTTTTCTGCTCCTCTTTCTGTTTTTCACATTGTAAGAAGAAAGGCCTATGATAATTGGGTTTGAAGGAAGTGGGGGGCAAACTGAAAGGAACTGCTACTGGAACTGCTCTTAGACACGATGAGGCCGAAGAAACTGATAAGAAGAGCAACTGCTCTGGAGTGAGGGTCTGTACCTTTTTTCTTTTCTTTTTAATTTTTTTAAAGTTATGCGTAATTGTTCTTTTACAATTATATCCTGCTTTAATTAAAATAAGTGCGTTTTAATATTAGTTTATCAAGGATATTTTCGGGATTTTTGAATGTTTCACCATTCTCTTTTGCTTTATATATATAGATAAAGAGAAACCAACAGAAAGTCTCTGGGGATGGAGGGAACAACACCTCCACCAACCAGATAACAATAAAGCAAAGAGAAACAGAACTAACAAAGAAAAACTTACTTAGAATAAGCGCTAGTGGAGTGGTTAAGTTTGGTGGGGGGGGTGTGTCGTGATTTACGAAAAAAAAAACCAAAAGTTTGGTGGGGTGTAATGTTAAATGTAATGGGTGTAAATAGTAGAATCACTGCAAGTTTTCCCTCCTTATTTCACTTTTGCCCCTCCGCTCCACACGCTCCTCTGTCCTGTACCCTGTCTGTAAAAGAACTACTTTAAACAGTTCAGTTTTAGATCTTGACCACCCAAAACAAGAATCTTAAAAAACTTCTTTTTTTTTCTCTCTTTCTTTTGTGGTGTAATTTACCTTAGTAACCCTCAAAACCGCAACAAGAACTCTCAACTGCTTGCTTGCTTGCTAATCATGGTCCTATAGTATTCAATCATTGAAAGTAACTTGCACCAACTGGGTTTCCATTTTTCCTCAGGGTTCTTCGAAATCTGTGCTTAGTTTTTGACTTTTCGTTCTTCTCTAGCTGAATTCTGCCATTTCTATTTTACTCTGTTTTTTTAAACAGAGCAAAATTTAGTATTTTCTACTTCAAATATGATCTGAGGTTTTCTATTTGGCTGCTTTTAAATATGAGAGATGTATGAGCCTCGTTTACTTTCTCTGTATAACTTTTTCTTGTACTTGGAAGTTGGAAGTGCTTTATTTATATAAACTTTCAGTTTCTTCATTATTGGGTCATTTATTAACATAGACTGGTCTACTTCTAGTACCAAACTGTAACTTTTCTACAGACATAAACAATTCTTGTTGTGCTTGATTGAAGGAACCGCTTTGGTTTAGAGTAATCTAAAATTACTGGGTCTTTTTGTATATTACATATAAATATCTTGGTTTTGTGACTTTTTCTTTTTATTTCTGTTGAATAGTTAAATCTCTTTCTTCCTCTGCCCCAATAGTTCATCTTTCTTCAAAGGGCCAGTTATTTTCTGTGATAGAAATGCTCATTTCAACTGAAAATGAACAGATCTCACTGGTTTCAGTTAGTGCAAAAGAGTCCTTTCACACATCTCACATGGAATCAAACCCAGATTCCATTGATAGGCTTCCCCCAGTTTCTTATTTTTCTGATTCACCTCCTCTTCCCACCATCTGTACTGATGTCAATGTCATCCCTGAGCACGAAAAGAATGAGCTTCAGCAGTCCATATCAAATCTTGAAGGTAAAGTTTTTGAGTTTCAGTTTCAAGTTAGTGATTAGGCCACTGTCTTAGTCCAAGCAGTTGATATGATCTTGGGGCCAATTGGGTTTGTAGGTGAAATCTCACAGTTGAAGCTGCGGCAGAAGTTGTGGGATGAGAAACGGAGAGAAGCTTTGAATAAGATTATAGACATCAAAGGTTGTGTGGTTAATCATAAACTTACCTTTAATGCTTTTATGTTTTATTGTATTAAGTGAAGTGAATGTTCAGGCAACATTCGAGTGTTTTGTCGGGTCCGACCATTTCTACTGATGGACAAGAGAAGAATCAGAGAACCCATTTCAGCTGGATCGGAGAAGATTGTGGTTAAGTCAGCTGGAACAAGAAAAGGATTTGACTTTGATAAGGTTTTTCCTCAAGAAACCAGCCAAGGTTAGTGTCAATTAATTGATCGGAGAAGATATATGCGTGTTTTACAAGTTTGATTATTTGTTAATTAATTGTTTCAGTTGTAGTAAGAGAGACTCTATCATGTTTCCAAATTCTGTAGAAGATGTTTTTGCTGAGGTGAAACCAATTCTCAGATCTGCACTTGATGGGCACAATGTATGTATTTTTGCTCATGGTCAAACTGGCACTGGCAAGACATTTACCATGGTTAGTGATAGAAACTTAAAATTCAGCGGTTGTTGCAGTTATCTGGTTGATGTATATTTGTTGTTCAAATATGTGTGAAGGATGGATTTGAATGCATCTGCAGGATGGCACAAGTGAGCAGCCAGGAATAATTCCTCGAGCTCTCAAAGAGCTTTTCTGTCAAGCCTCTTTGGATAGCTCATCTTATATCACTTTTTCAATGAGCATGTTAGAAGTTTACATGGGCAGTCTCAGAGATCTACTGTCCCCAAAACCAGCTTGTAGGCCACATGAAGCTGTAACAAGATGGTAATAAACTTTCATTTTAGTGCCCTGAGTAATTCATTAGAGGAGGCGACAATTGCAGGCCATTTATTAGACTGCTTACTTTGGTTTGGCTAACTTTACTACAGCAATCTCAACATTCAAACAGATCCAAAGGGATTAGTGGAAATCGAGGGTCTAACGGAAGTGCAAATCGCTGATTTTGGTAAAGCTAGATGGTGGTATAATAGGGGGAGGAGAGTTAGATCTACTTCTTGGACTAATGTAAATGAGGCATCTAGCCGGTCTCACTGGTGGGTTCCAGGTCTAGTTAGATTTTTCACAATTTTCCATTGGATTAATTTTGGTCGATAATTACGTTATCTTTTTAGCTTCATATATCTAGCTTAACGAGGATAACCATATTCCGGCACGGGGATGCTTCGGAAGCTAAAAGGGAAGTGGGTAAACTGTGGATGGTTGATCTTGGTGGAAGTGAACGGTTGCTGAAAACAGGAGCAACTGGACTAACACTTGATGAGGGAAGGGCCATAAATCTTTCTCTTTCAGCTTTGGGTGATGTCATTGCTGCTCTAAGACGGAAGCGAGGCCATGTGCCTTACAGGTAAATTAGTTGGTTGTCAGCTTTAGTTGCCTTCTTCACTTTGCCTTTTTATTTTTTCCCTTGGTGAGTGGATCTGTACTGTTGGTTATAAATTCCTCTAAGACAGGTCTTTTGAGGTGTTTCTCTTTGCGTGCTGATTCAGCTAGAATCTGATGGACTTTAAAATTTTGGTTGCAGGAACAGCAAGCTTACACAAATCCTGAAAGATTCCTTAGGTAGATTACCACATTCTTTAAATTTGGTTATGGAACTGAGTTTCTTTACACATACAGACAATTCAAAGTTATTTAATTTGATTAACATAGAATTTTAATTTTAAAATCTGTATAAATGAGCTTATACTACATTTGTAATATACGGTAATGACTCCACCACAAATCATTAAGTTTGTGCCTTCAATTGCTATCGCGAGCAGGGCAGAATGATCTCATATTCGCATGATTTTCACACCCTCTTCACCATTTGGACTTGACAGTGCTTAATATTTATTTGGTAATGCAAATGCTTTAGGTGCTGGTTCGAAGGTTTTGATGCTTGTGCATGTCAGCCCATGTGAAGAAGATGTTGGGGAGACGATATGTTCTTTGAGCTTCGCTAAGAGAGCTAGAGCTATAGAGTGTAATAGGGAATTATCAGAGGTACTTGTCTGTAGTTTCTTGGTAATTGTTTGGTTCCCTTAGCTGTGAATCTTCGTAACCGTTTGCATTGTTTTAGGACTTGAAGAGGCACAGGGAGAAAAGGGTCAAGGAACTTGAAGAAAACATGAGAGAAGCTGAAGAAGAATGCCATAAACTTAAAAACCAGATACAAAAGGTCGATTTGCTGTTCCGCGAAAACAGAAAGCTCTTCTCAACCACTTATGGACCTTTAGAAGATGAGAAGGCCCCCATTAGTCCCAAAGAATATCTGAAGGAAGCTGTAGAAACACCACGAAAGCCTGAGAAAACAAGTAAAGGCAATGTTTCAAATTCATTGCCTCGGTTCATGACTTCCACTGCAGCTAGTCGACAAAGGCAAAGTGCTGCAGAAAGAGAAGTTGTTGGTAAAGCAAGAAGTTTGAGGTCTGTGGCCAGAAGTTCAATCCAATTCACAGCCTCACAATCAATGAGTTACTCAGATCCTCAAATCAAAGCAATCTTACAAAACGCAAACAGAAAATCACGATACGCCCAGGAAGCAGCAGATACTTTTCCTGCAGAAAGCCCGAAATGCAATGTATCGGAATCATCCAAGACGAGAAGCAAGTTGATCACCTCATCTGATCCAAACTTGAGAGTTACACTTGGTCGTCATAGAAGAAGGATGTCTGATCTAATCTAACTGTCTGAGATTGAGGAAGGATAAGATGTGGTATAGTAAGAATAAGATGTGGTATACTAAGAATAAGATGTGTGTGCGTGTTTTTGGGTTTATACTTCATAGTTTGAGTTTTGTGTGATTATGTATGTTACTACTAGGGTTGCTTCAACTGGGGTCTGTTAATTATTTGTTTACACGATCCCTTATACACTGATTTTGTCAGGCTTGCTGATTTATGTTCAATTAATTGTTAACAGAATTTTGTAACTTCTCGACTCATTTCATCATTTTTGGGTCATTGATTTTATGCTAATAATCTTGATCTCATTTTTATCAAGTGTTTTAAAATAGCCGGTTTGATGTATATGATAATGTAACATGTTAAATTAAAGAAAATTATTAGAATAGGAGGTATCGGAAAGAATTTAAATTCTCATTCCCTAATCTCGCTAGTATAAATAAAATAATTGAAAAAATAGCTCTAGCCCAAGATTATGGGGAATACACAAAAGCTGATAATACTAGTACTACTGATGAGCTGAGTCTTGTCTAACACATTGTCATTTGTGATTCATTAGTTAGCACTGAGAAAAACTTGAGAATGGGAGGAGGTGAAAAACCACCCCATTAGAATGGGATTATGGGAGGAGGTATCAGAAAGAATTTAAATTATCATTCCCCAATGTCGATTGTATAAATAAAATAATTGAAGAAATATATTGAGCTAAAGCGGTATTTTAGCCTTAAACCCTAAAATAATATGACAAAATTGTCACGTAAAAAATGCAATAATTCCCTTTAAATAATACAGCCACAAGGCTATATTGTTTAAATATTTTTCATAAAATAAAATAAAATAAAATACAAATATTTAAAGTATAGCAGCACGACCATTTCAGGTGGGCACGATCCTGATCGCCGAATCAATTACATTATAACGATTTGATTTTTATAAAAATTACAAAGAAAACCGAACAGAACCAAACCAATTTAAAACGGTTTGGTACGGCCGATTTGGGCCCAAGTCCAAATCTCTTTCCTTTTGCATTTTTTCAACGTTGTTAGCCCAATTATAATCAATAAATTCACAACTTGCTATATACTTTTTCCATTTTATAGGCATCTAAAAACTCAATTTACAATAAAACTTCAAATTTCAATAAATAACTAATATAGCTACAATTTAACATTCATATTTAGTTATTTTCTAATTAGAAGACTACACATGTAAAATTAAATATAAATAAATATGCAGGTAGACAGTCCAATTCGGTTTATGTCAGTTTATAAAAGTTCAAAATTAAACTAAACTAAATAATATACAGTTTGGTTCGATTTTTAACCATTTAACTTTTTTTCATTTTATCAAAATCAAATCAAATCAATAATTACGAATTTAATCGGCCAATTTAATCGATTCGGCCAGATTGATGCCCTCCCAAAGCGGCTATACTTTTTAAACATATTCCATGCGACACCGTAGCATGCATGTTACTCAAAACAACATCCGAGAAGAGACGACACAAGTCTCCCCACCACCAATCACATGAAAGGTTGAATCCAAAAGTTAAATAAAAAACTCCTCGTGCCCCATGAAACGACATCGTAAGTGTCGGCCCCAAATCAATGTCCCAAAATTTCCAGTGTTTTCTGCAGACCCAAAAATCAGTCTTGTAGACTTTGCGTAAATTGACGACATACAGACACATCACATGGCTCTGTGGTCGTCGTCATCATCAACATCGTCACCAAAGGGGATAGTGATAACAGTGCCGGCGCTGGTTCTGGCGGCCTCTGTGGCCGCAATCTTCTTCTTCTTCCTCTTGTCCTCTTTGTCGTCGTCGTGCTCTTGTGGTGGCCGCGACGCCGGCGGTGCTCCTGCTAGTGCTACCGGCGGCGATGTTAGTGTACCACGTGCCGGCGATGGTGATGGTACACGTGTCAGCGTGTCAGAGGGCGGAGGAGAGTCAATATGGTCGTCGAAGGAGGATGTGGAGTGGGTGAAGGATCAGATCCGAGTGAATGGGTTGCATATGCAGGATAACGTGTTGCGTAAGGGAATTAACCCTCGTACCAGAGCTGAGCAGCTCCAAGATCTCTTACAGTCCGTACTCTCTCTCTGTCTCTATTATATTTGTATTTGTTTGTGTGATTGGAAATGGGGATTTTGGATGTGTGCAATGGGCTTGGGATTTGGGACTTCAATTGGTTTTTGTGATGGTATTGGGATTTGGTCTACAATTGTGCCTCAAAAGAGTTTAGAAAAGGGTTAATATTATCTTGAATGTGCAAGGGGAGGAGGGTGAACATATACAAGAAAATGCATGAACTTGGGTCTAAGTTTACTTGGATTAACTCTCTAATCTTGGGTTCAAAGTTGTCAACTTTAAGTTTTAAGTACCAGCTCGTATGCTTCATGTGCATTTGTGTCAAAGGGAGGATGTGAGATATGAAATTAGATCAGTCAACTTCGATTTACATGGGATTACCTCAGTAAAGTTTGATTTGTGTTTAGTTCTGTGAAGGTTAATTCAAAATTGTTGGTTAAATTGCTGTATTTTCTTTACACTAGTTATTTTAGTTGTTGAGTTTGGCAAGTACCATAGTGCTCTGTTTGGTTTATGTGAACCACAGGGTTAGGTGGGAGAACAAGGAAAAGATGAAGTTTTTGATCATTTTCTAGGTTTATAGAACATGGAAGGTCTTTGAAGTGATTTTTTCTATTTCTTTTGTTTCGATAAGTGTTTCTATGTGTTATGTTTGTTATTTGGTGATTTCTTTAACTGGAGTGTTCTCTTAGTTGGGAACCTTTTTCTCCTCGTGCTTTTCTGTGCAGCAAATTTCACATGTTCACATGTTTGTTGTTAAATGATTCTCCGGAAAGTTGTGCATTTCATGTTCTCTGAATATATTGATTTCCTGCAAAAATTTGACCAAAATTTTCTGATTTTTAGATTCAAGGGTATATCTCACTATGAAGGACCTGAGTCGGAAAACCACACCGCCCTCCCATGCCCTGGTGAGCTCCTTACTGAAGAGCACCACAGTAACTATGGTGAGCCTTGGGCAGGTGGCCGAGATGTTTTTGAGTTCCTCGCTCAGTCCACCCATCTGAAGCCTGAATCGCATGTCCTTGAGATTGGCTGTGGTACCCTCCGAGTTGGTTTGCATTTCATTCGCTATCTTAATGCTGGACACTTCCACTGTCTTGAAAGAGATGAGCTATCACTAATGGCTGCCTTTAGATATGAGCTTCCTTCCCAAGGTCTTCTGCCCAAGCGCCCTTTGATTGTGAAAGGCGAGAATATGGACTTCAGCAGATTTGGTTCAGACGTTGTCTATGACTTGATCTATGCTAGTGCAGTGTTTCTTCATATGCCTGATAAGCTTGTGTGGGTTGGATTAGAGAGATTGACAAATAAATTGAAACCTTTTGATGGGCGAATCTTTGTGTCCCATAATATTAAGTTCTGTTCGCGATTGGGAGGAGACGAATGTACAAAGCGGCTTACGAGTTTAGGCCTGGAGTACATTGGAAAGCATACACATGATAGCTTGCTTTTTAATCACTATGAAATCTGGTTTGAGTTTAGGCTGTCCAAGGCGTAGAGTGGCAGAATTTATTCATTTTTTACTGTCTTTCGTCCTAATTTAGATGCAGGATGTGAAGCAGCGGGTGGCTGCAGTGCTCTTGTTGTATTAGTTTGATAACTTAGCCACTGTTTCTTTGTATGTCAAGCCATTGACCTCCTATTGATGATTGTATTTCTAAGAGTGGTAGATCGGGGTTTACTTATGGTTCATCAGTTTGTGCAGGAGGCTAAGGCCTGCTTTGTATTCTTGAATAGATAAAAGGGTAACTTGTAATATTCTGATAACACTTGCAATGAGTTTATATAAGCGATTCATTCTTTTCCATTACTTTCTAAATAGGTTGCAAGATTCCTACACGGAACTTCAATTTTGTCTCACAATTTATTTTCTAGATCACTCTGTGAAGATGACTTTTTTGCAAGATAATATTTTTGGAGTTTGAATAACACTTCTAGAAGTAAAAGTCAAAACCATACAGTAGCAATTGGCAAGCAGCAAGCATTAACAACCTGATAATGCACTGGTAATTGGCCCGGTCCTGGTCAAACGACGACGTTAGGAGGATTTTACACTCTACTCGTCTCTGTTCCCAAAACCCCGTATCTACTAAAACCCTAAATCCTAAGAAAAGAGAAATAGAGACCAAAAAGGGGAAAAATTTCCAGAATGCATCATTCTTCACGAATCCTAAGCAACACATTGTGCAAGAAAAACTCAAACTTGCTGATATCTTTCACTGGCTATTCTTACAATGACTGTCATCTTGCTCCATTATTTTGCCGCTCGATCTTCTCCACGACGCACCTAGATAACTCATGGGTGAACAAGATCAAAGGGGTCTTCACCGGCAATAAGACCTCTTCAGATGAAACCAAGCTCGGCTCTGACCCTGAATCATTTACCCTGCTTCGTATGCCACTTTAGCTCCTAAACTTCCATTTTTTAATTTTTGTAATTTAAATTTTGTTATTGCTTAGCTGTTTATGTGCTCGAAACTTTCAAGCTCTTGGTAAAACCCAATTGATATTTTAAAGAAGAATATGAACTTTGGCCGTTATCTCATTCATATTTTGCATGTTTTTCCTATAACCTTAGGTGTTCTTGATGATTGGCTTTTGATCTGCTTAACCTTTTTAGACTATCGATCAAACCCATTACATTCCGAAGCAGAACATCTGTTTTGGACTTTTTTTCCCTTTCGGGTTTTGCTCAATTTCATGGGCCTTTTAGTTCCAGCATTTGATTTAACTTTCTTTTTTATGTAATTAACTTTTATATAACTTTAAGAAATTGGTTGGGAGTTCATGGGTTCTAGTAACGACACTATTTATTTGTTGGATTGATTCTAGGATTTGCAGATGAGATGAAGAATGCTAGAAGAATAGGGGCATTCAAGCAATATATTGTGGGGAGAAGCAGTGAAGCTACTTTTGCCGATGCTTTCGAGAAACAGGAAGCCATAATCCGATATCTTGGAGGATTTGATTCCACTGGAGAGGTTGGTTTTCCCTTTTTAATTTTAAAAAAGGAAGCCATAATCCGATATCTCGGAGGATTTAAGCCTATCTTTATAATTCCGCTTTCCTTTTCCATACTCTTGGCCAATTTTTCAAACCCGAGGATTTGTCCTCCAAACTGCCAATACTGGCCCTACATAAAATTGAGCTATGAAGCTGAAGGAAACTTCAAAGTCCAATGGATGCAGTCCAAAGTATTTGTGATTTGGAATTTAAAAACATCTATACTAGGTGTATGCTTTTCAATTGTGTCTGGTTAAGTCTCTTGATTATGGTTTTAGGTCTTTTGATTTGTAGAATCTCAATGTCACTCAAAAACAAGAAGCAGCAAAGCATTGTAATTGCACGATTGCTGATGTTGAGAATGCACTTGCAAAGTTCACATGGGCTAGAGAAGCACAAAAGAAGATGGAAAACTTAAAGAAAGAAGGGAAACCAATGCCAAAGAACATTAACGAGGTATTATTTCTCAAATTTCACTCTCTTTACGCTTTTCTGGTTAGTGAAAATTCACTGCATATGCATAAACCTTAGTGACCGTATACCAAATGCAGAAATTGGATGTCCACTGTAGAATGTCTTATAGCTTCTGAAATCACTGTGTCTTTGCTTGTTTTGTTGTCTTTGGGGAGACTTTTATAGTACAGCGGCGTCCATTTGGTTGGCTAAGCGCCTGAATTTCTTGTTGAGGTCAGATTCATCTCTCTTTGCAGATGCCTACTTATTGGAAAGTTTCAAAGCCGGAGTTTAAGTGTGTGTGTGATTGCTTCCTTTAAGATGAACTAATATGTTAGTGGAAGCATGTGAGTTGCTTTCATTACATGAACTAAATTCGTGTTATGTCTGTTGGCTGTAAGTGTTGTAGGCACTGATGAGGAAAATGAGGGGGTTTGGTGATAAAAGGGGCAATTTGTGGCATATTGCTTATGAAGACCTTGGTTTGTTTGGATACACTTTTTTCCATTAACATCCATGGAAAACAAAATTCTGATTACAGTTTAGGATTGTAGGAAACCTTGCTTTTGCAACTTATCAAAAAGGAACTGTATCTGAGTTTCCCTATGAGTAGTGGATAGAGCAAGTGGTAATGCCCATTAGTTATGGTTCAAAAATGCAAATTTGATTTCCTGGATATTTCCATGAAATTGAAACATGGAAAACTCGTTATTAACTGAAAATTTCTGTTCCGCAGGTGCAAAAATTGATGGGTTCAACGCCATTTGACCTTGCCAAGTCTAATTTGGCTAAGAGTGGGCAAATAAGTAGGAATGCGCTCTGTCCATGTGGTTCCAAGAAGAGATACAAACGGTACTTTGGCCTTACATGCTTTTACCAAGACTCGGCAGAACTTAGCTTAATAATCCTTCATATTTGATTCATGTGCATGAGTTTTCAGATTGATAAGCTTATTGGTCTATGTATTATTTGTTATGAAGGTGCTGTGGAAAGGATTGAAGCGATCCAAGAATAAAATAAGAAGAAAAACCTTCACTTCAGTCCTGTACATGGAGAGATGCCCAGAGCTCAAAGAATCAATTTGCAGTTTTTGGAGCCTTTGATTTATTTTGGTTTGCTTAGCAAGTTGGCTGGCCTCTTGATGATCCTATTCTGCTTGCTCGGACCAGATTGGCTTAACATTTTGTTTAGACAATAAATTGGAATGAAACTGAGGTTGAAGAAATTTGATTACAGAATGCATGAAAGTACAATTTTACAACTTTGATGCGATTTTCCAATCTGTTCCGTACTCGGGGACTTTTCAGTACACTAGTCATTATCTTGGAAATGCTATGCTCTTGGTTCTTAAATTGAATCTTTGATTTTCCATCACTTTGGATGAGAATACAATTGTTGTGTTAAATTGAAACATCTTGATAGTTCAGCGTTCAAAAAGGGCCTACTGCTTCTTCCCCCAGAAAACCTTCTTTCTATGCAAGACGTTTAGCAGTTTATATTCTATAGCTTCTTCGCTTGATATCTCTGCAAAGCCACAGAAAGATAGGTTTCAGTCGCTCTCACATATAGGACTTGCCGCATAGAGTTTTCAATTTCATAAAATCAATCCATACTTTTTGTTAATTCCTAAGCTCTGTAGATTTGGAAAAGACAATTCGATTCCTTCACATTTAAAAAATAAAAAAAACTAAAAAGAAATCCGACCTGCCGGATTCGAACCAGCGACCTAAGGATATCTGATGGTTATACCAACTACAGTCCTCCGCTCTACCAACTGAGCTAAGGTCGGGATGGATTACTCTTTCGCATTTTTCAATTAAAACTAAAATCCAAAAACCAAGTGTGGACAGTCCAAATCGCCCTTCAGTTTCAAGTTAACATTTTTATTATTTTATTAAATTGAAAGCGTTTTGCTTTGTACTATCTGCGTTTTGTGATTAAAAAGAGAGATTTATTCCTTTTCACGTTCCCTCAGCAGCCCTTGTCAATTCCAGTCTCAAGTTTTAGTTTTAGTTTAATAGTTAGTCCACCTGGTTAAAATAATTAATTGATGAATATTTCCAATGTCAATGTCTCACAAAATATGACATTTTTTATATATATTTTCTTAGTCCCCAATCAATTTTAATTTATCCCTAATGATGATCTCACAAGTGGTATGTCACCTCAAAGTTATGTTAATTATCTCCCAAGTTGCCATTGGAATGTTAATTTATTAGGATAGGAAGACTTCGTAGAAAGAAAAATTGACATGGATTAAGTCCGTTGGTCAGCATATTGAGCTCGCCTCAAATTCGAATTTCCTTCCTTGTAAATTACACTAAGAAAAACTTGATAAGACCACCATATGTTAAAACACTAAATTCCAAAGTTTTTCATCATTAATAATATTGTATATTACAATGCATTATATATTATTGCCTGCCACCACGACCTAGGTGCTACTGTTTCTCATAACAGTTAGTGTTTACCAGTTCTATTAGCACTAGCTAGTAATACTCAAGTTGTTCGTCATGGAAGAAACCAACTTGTCAAAAACGATCACTCTCCGTCCATTTAGGCTATCCGACGCTGATGATCTCATCACATACGGGGGCGATGAGCAAGTGACGCGTGTCCTCCGCGGCTGGAAGACGTTGACAACCAGAGATGAGGCGTTGACTTTCATAAAGGATGTTTGCATCCCCCACCCTTGGCGCCGGTCAATATGCATGGATGACCGTTCTATCGGGTTCGTGAGCATGTATCCAGGATCAGGCAATGATAGCTACAGGGCAGACATGGGGTATGCTATAGCTGCAAAGTACTGGGGCCAAGGGATAACCACCAAGGCAGTTAAGATGGCCCTGTCTCAAGTTTTCAAAGACTACCCTGATTTGGTGAGGCTGCAGTCTTTTGTGGATGTAGAGAATAAGGCCTGCCAGAGAGTTTTAGAGAAAGCTGGGTTTCAGAGGGAGGGTGTGTTGAGGAAATATCTTTATTTTAAGGGAAGTATTAAGGATATGGTTGTCTATAGTTTTCTCTCAACAGATTAGATTAATTAGCCTAATGATCCCAGAGTCAAGGCAATGGAATAATTGGCCTTGTATGCTAAATGCCTCTACATTTTACATTTACAATAATGTCCTTTTCAAAAATATGTTTGTTATGATTTGCCCTTTTTTCTCCAATCAACTTTGGTTTATCCCTAAAGCCAACCTTATAAGTTGCATCTCACCTCAAAATGCTGTTTAATGTATCTGTAGACTCTAGTGGTTGGTTTCCTCAAACAAGATGAGCTGATAAGTTAATTTATTAAAGATGGTAAGACTTTGTAGCAACTAAATCACTTTTTTTAATTATACAAACGATAATCTATTTTAAACTAATCCAAACTATGGGGAAGGGGATTCGAACTTGGGTGCATAATGGGGAGCACATCCGCTTTAGTCAACTTGGCTAAACCCGTGTATGCAGCAACTAAAGTACTTAATTAGAAAAAGTTGGCAAGACAAGAAGATACGTTCATATTCCAAAGCCTTTCATGATTTTAGATAAAATATATTTATAGGCGCTCATAACTCATAACTCATAACTCATAAGAGTTGGTGTTTGCCATAGTCATTAGCATACTTTTCATGGAGACCAATTTGTCAAAAATGATCACTCTCCGTCCATTCAGGCTATCTGACGTTGATGATCTCATGTCATACGCAGGCGATGATCAAGTGACTCGGTCCCTCCGATGGAAGACTTTGACAACCAGAGTTGAGGCTTTGACTTTCATCAAGGATGTTTGTATCCCCCACCCTTGGCGCCGGGCGATATGCATCGATGACCGTTCGATCGGGTTTGTAACCATTTTTCCAGGATCAGGTGATGACAGGTACAAGGCAGACTTGGGATATGCAATAGCTGCAAAGTACTGGGGGCAAGGGATTACCACCAAAGCAGTTAAGATTACGGTGTCTCGAGTTTTCAATGACTTCCCTATTTTGGTGAGGTTGCAGGCTTTTGCTGATTTAGAGAACAAGGCCTCTCAGAGGGTTTTAGAGAAATCTGGGTTCCAAAGGGAGGGTGTGTTGAGGAAATATGGATATCTTAAGGGAAATATTAAGGATTTGGTTGTTTATAGTTTTCTATCAACAGAACTTGCAGTGTAATAATTTGCATGTATGTTATGCAGTTATTTTTTCTTCTCTTTAATGTAAGCTCATGAGTGGTATTGTTTTCATGTGAAAACTTATTTTCTCACGGCCCCAAGCAATATGCGATACTTGCCCTCTTATGCTACATGTCATATTATTTCCAAGAGGATTGATAATTGAAGCGAGAAAAAAAAAAAGTTGTACCTAGTCCAAGAAACTAGCCAGTATAATTCAAAATTGTGGTCTCCATGAACTTTTGAAATTCGTTCAAATGCGAGCAATGGAGAGCAAGCTGAAGCCTCTACTACAAGTCAGTCTCCGGCCCTTCGAAATCTCCGACATCGACCATTTTATTGCATGGGCAAAAGGGGATGATAATGCGACTTGACATTAATTGTAGATGGAATACTTATGCCAAGCCAACAGAGATGATGCTGTGGAGTTCATTGGGGAAGTGATTGCATCTCACCCTTGGTATAGAGCCATTCCCATTAACGAACGTCCGATTGGATCAAAGCCTGGAACTGGGAAAGATGAACTGCGGTGGGGATGAAATTGAGTATACTTGGCGCAGGAAACAGAGGCTGTGAAGTTGGCCCTGTCATGTGTGTTTAAGGAGCTGAAATGTTTGGATAGGGAAGAAGGGTTGGCCTTGGCAGAAAATATAGCTTCAGAGGTTTTCTAAATAAAATATTTCTATGTAACCCAGAAAATAGATAAGAATAACACAAAGCTTTGTATTAATTTATCTGGATGGCTGGAGGTATTATTAACACATAAATTACAAATCCAGTTTTCTTTGAGAACTTTACTATGGAATCTGTACAAAAAGGACCCTGCTACAGTCTTTGGGCAACAGTAGCTGGGCAGGCATTAAATTATACAATTGAGGTACATGCTTTTTTCTCTCTCCATTCTCACTCTTTCTGATTTTTCGTTTGAGAGTATTTTATCCTATCCTAACTCAAATACACAGAACCGGAATGTCTTCTTATTCACAGTTGAGAGAGAGGCTTTTCAAGGTGTGGAATTTACTGAGATTTCTTGCCGTAAATGTGAGCTTGGGTGGTCAAGATTCGATGGAATGACGAGCCGCTGCAAAGGCTTGAGAGCTACCGTGAGCTCTGAAAACGAGGGACGCAAGTTTGGATCGCTGACCGGAAAGAAAGAACAACCGATTAAACTGGATTCAACAAGTAGAACAGTGATATTTAGGAAATATGTATGTGTTCTAAACTTTCTGCAACTTACGTCTGCCAACATTCCAATATTATCCTTGCAACAAGGGGATCCAGTTCCTTAGGTATCTCAAGGCGTCGATTCTGAAAACCAACTGCACCTACAACTTGCATCGGGTTCATCCCACTCCAAGGCAATTTTAGAGTAGCAAGCTCCCACAAAATGACTCCAAAGCTATATACATCACACCTATACATTTAACACAAAATTTCTGAGAATCTTTAATCTGTATATTTTCTCCACACTAATATAGTTGGAACATGGCATCGATCAAAGCTGAAAGAAGAGACACAGAAATATAATAACAAGAATTACTACTCACTTTTCATTTGAGTTTTCATTGCGGAGAACTTCCGGTGCCATCCACTCAGGCTAGCTCATCGATGGAAACCATCAGGCAAATGAAGAAAAGGTGACAGAGTTAGATTAAGACTTGTGGTCATATTTCTCATTGCCTACAGAAAACCAATTTATTAAATAAATAAAAATAATCAATAATAATCCCAGATTCTCACCGTTCCAGCAGTTGATTTGGATGACAAGAAAGTATTATGTTTCAAGCGTGACAATCCAAAATCACCGACCTGTATAATTGAGATCCAGTTTTGTTAAAAGTATAATACATATCTCAAAGAACTACTAATTAGATGGCCAAGGCATCTCATTATCCACAAGAAAGAAGAGAAACAACAATAAAAAAAGGAATGTGATACCTTCACATTCCAGTTCTTATCAACCAACAGATTTGGAGATTTCAAATCCCGGTGAACAATTGTGGGTGTGCTGGCATGCAAGCAATTCATACCCCTTGCCTACAAAATAAAAAGAGAGCTGAAAGTGGATATTGATGTGTCATGCCGGTTCTAGAGAACACAGGGAAGATCATCTCATACCACATCAAGAGCCATCTTTAATCTACGTTTCTCATCAATTTGGCATTGAGGGCGATGGATAATCCGATATAGGCTTCCCCTGGGGAAATAAAATACGAGTGGACCAGTTACAACAGAAAGATGAAAAATAGAATATGTATACATGTTCCAGTCAATAAATAATCTTTTTACAATGATCAATGTGCAGAATTATACCTTGGAAGGAACTCTGTAATGATAGAGAGGTTAGGAGGACGTGTAACAGCACCCATAAAAAGCACAACGTTTGGATGACGCAATTTACGCATTATTCGCACCTTACATTGCAAAACAAAGACCACAATAATTATCATCAGGTTGTAAGTTTATTTTCCATTTCCCCTTTTCCTCGAAGTCTTGGAAGCTAAAAAGTGCAGCATATGCACATAAGGGACTAGAAATTTACTTCTCTTTTGAACTCAGCCAAAGCAGCACCTGAGAAATCCTGGTCTAGGAACTTCTTCACAGCAACTTCCTGTAACTCAACAACAATTCACCAGCCAAAATTAAAGTCCCCAGTTGAATTTAATTCCCATGAAATTAAAGTTAAAAACACTTTCAAGCCTCTGGCAATGAATTAAGTACATGCATAGTTCCAGGCAGTAGTGACAAAGCAGAATCCACCACAAAATAATGACAGCAGAGAAACAGTTATTATAAATTACAAATCTTAGCTAACTTTAAAGAACACTGAAATTGTTTTGAATATAGGAAATCTTCGATTAAAATACCTAACCATACACTGTATAAATATAAACCTGCTTCGCAGTAAACAAAAAAGCAACTTCTATAGTTTGCCATCAGTGCATTGACAATGATAGGCAACCCCTTTAAAATCCCCCATACACGTAATGGTGCTAATTTGCATGTCATTTATCAATTACTTGTGAATCACATATAATGATTTAATAAGTAAGTTCTATCACTATAAACAATTTAGCAGTGCTAGTCAATGGAGATGCTCGGGAAACAAATTGAAAAGAGAGGGCACTAGGTATTCAAAATCCATAAGGAGAATAATAATAAAAGATCAAATAAACATAACAATTTTTGCCGCATATGAGATAAGAAAGAGCATAGTCATTTATATAAAACTCACCGTCCCATTCCAATCAGCATGGTATACCTCTCCATATGAACCTAGTAAAGACAATGAGAAAAAAAAAATTAGTCAGCTCCCCAGGAAAAATAAGTTTATAGCTGTGTGAGGATTGAACACTGGCAGTTTTCCAGACAATATAGGCAACTTTGACCAGGTATGGGCATTACCTAGTCCAATCCTTTCTCCAATAACCAGATCTTCCCACGGAATTTCACTTTCACCTACATCAACATCATCAAATACTTGATCAACCCTGCTCGAAATGGAATCAAAAGATGAGCTAGAACTTTCTGGATCCTTCAGCTTCAAATTGGTCTCCATAAATCTATCATGCATGAACTTTCTAGGATCATGGAAGCCAATTTCATTGTTCTGATGTTCATTAACATCTATTGTGCCATTCTGTAAATAACCTGTAGCCCTGGGTTGTTCCCCCCTATAATTTTTGGCATTGCCATCTCTATCTGACATATTTGAATGAGCAGTTGATTTGAAACCACCAGGATTGATCTGTTCAGATACGGTAGAGCTGGTGGAAGCTGCAGATGATGGACTATACCCATTAGGTTCGCGATTAACTCTTGGGAAGATGCCATCCATATAATTATCATTCTCCTTTCTTTTAGGGACTTCATTGAAAGCATATTTATTTTTCCACATTAATGATGCAGGAGGTCGACCAGAGGCAACATTATTTCTCTGTCTCTGAAGCTCTTCAACTTTGTTCTCCACAGGTTTGTTATACATAGAAGCTTTCCCAGGTCCTTTGATTTGGAATGGGTTAAG